GTATTGTAATTGTAAATGTTGACAAATCGACTGAAAAATTTGTTGTGTTTTATTTGCACTTATAAGAGTTTTAATTTGTTGAAAAGTTTGTCCAATTTCATCATCACCAAGAAATATATCTAATCCAGTTTTTTCTCCACTAAGAATATCTTTTAAATGTAAACCATATTTATTTAATATTATTAAAAATGGTTTTAAACGAGGAAAACGTTCAATTAATTGAATTAGACGAAGTTGTGTTGAATGCCATGTTACTACTTGTTCCGAATGTAAAGTTGAAGCAAGAGAACGACATGCATTTAATAATGGATGATGTATATGATTTAAATCAAGATCTTTAATTGCTATTTGAGCATAATAAGCAGCTAATTCATTAAATGGTTCTATTGATTCAATTAAATCTTGATTACCATTAGAATTAAGTTCATTATTAAGAATAATTTTAGGTGCTGGAAGTAAATGTGATATATCTTTTATTATTAGTGAATCAGTCCATACTCTTTTCATACAATAATCTTTTATAATTGTATCTAAATATGTTTTATGATCAGTATTAGGTAAATCACTTGTTAGATTTAATTTATCAAAGATTGTTTTTTCCATTGACCATCGACCAGAATGTGCACCTTGAACTTGTTGAATAACAGCACCTTCAAATGTAAATATTGGTTCTTCGGTTTTATTATCCATTGGAAATGTCCATAAATCGATAGTATATGTTCCTTCTTGACCTATGCCACATATATTATCATGAAACTTTCCACGTACTTCAACATTTGTTGATTGATTCATTTTTGTTTTTGTCTTACTTGAATAAATGAATTTTTGAATACGTACTGGAAGAAATGTTGTTTCAATACCTGGTAATATAACTAGAAATGGATGAGAAGCTGAATCCATTATAGATGGATGAAGTAAATAATAAGATGAAGAATCATTATCATCATTTGATAATTCAGATATAACCGAAGTTGAAGTACCACGTAATGTTTTTATTTTTTGAAAACTAGATCCATATTGATAACCTCGTGTTGAAAAATGTGCATAAGCACTTGTTATATCTTGTGTTGACCATGTATCATTAATTGTTTCCAAAGGGGGTATTGTTAATGATTTTTGTTCTTTAAAATCTATTTCGATTTTACCTTGAGCATGTAAAGTAAACTGATTTAATGAATATTTATTAAGATTATTTTGATCACGAAAAGAATCAACAACATCAGTACAAGTCATACCTGATGAACGCATACAATCTGGACCAGCTACTGACCATGGTCGACTATAAATATACCATTCACGCATTGGCATAATTATTTGTGTAAATACTTCTACTAATTCATGTTCATTAAGAATAAGTGCTTTAATAAAGTTAACGTCTTCAAAAATAATTGTTGGTTGTTGTTGATCATCTTCTTTTGATGAAAGTAATTGATGACAAGCAGCTGTTGCAAGTTCAAGATAAGCAACAGCAGGAAAAAGAATTGCATCTTGAATTTTATGATCTTTTAAGAAAGCATGTTGTGGTAAATTAATATTAATAAGACCTTTCCATGTTGCACTTGTTTGATCATTTAATTGACGAATACCAAGTAATGGATGAGTAGGTATACGATTAGCTAAACGTTGTATAGATGAATCTTTTGATTCATACCAACATGGACTCAAATGAAATTTATATAATGGAAAATTATCGAAATATTCTTCATGGTTTTTCATAGGTAAAATTTGACGAGTATGAAAATATTGTTGCCATACATGAGATGATGTTGTAAGTTGTGCTAGACTAGTAAGTAATGTTATTTGTTCATTTTCTTTTCGTTTTAATGTTGGAAGAATAAGTGGTGATTGTTGTTGTTGATTTGTTAATTCATAACATTCACGAATAGATGTAGCTAAAACTGGATGTGGTGAAATTTCAAGAAAAACATTTGCTACTTCATCTTTTATAATTGCTGCTATAGCATCATAAAATCGAACAGCTTGTCTCACATTTGACCACCAATATTGACCATCAGCTGGTATATTATCATTCATTTGTTCACCAATAACACTTGAATAAAGTTTTGCTTGTGCACATATTGGATCAAAAATTTGTTTCTGATCTTGTATTGGAAATCCTCGAATATCTTTCAATGATGAAAGTAATTCTTTCTCAATATCAAATCGATTCATTTGATATGAATGAAATGCATTTTCAATACGAAGACGTGCTTTGAATACATTTGGATAAGATATGGTAAGAATTTGTTGTATTTCATCAATAGTTTTTTCATCACCACTTATTGTTACTGAACGAGGACTATTGACAACAGCAATACAAGCCAAATGTTCAATACCTTTAAGAAGTTTATTTTGTACTTCTTCTTCACTCATTGAAACAGCTAACATACGACCACCTTGTCTTGTATTACGATTTTGAAGACGTGATCGATGATAAACAACACGAACAGCTTCTTCTAAACTTAAACGACCAGCAACAAAAGCAGCTGCTTGATCACCAGCACTATGTGATATAATTGATGATGGATATATATTCCATGAAACAAGTAAAGCAGCTAATGCAACTTGTATAGCAAATAATGTTGGTTGAGCAATATTTGTATCATTAATACGAGATTCTTGTTCATTTTTCATTTCAATTAATTCTTCTAATAATCTCCATTCACCTTTATTAATTTTTGTCATTTCTCCATCAATTAAATTAATCCATTTATTAAATAAAGGTTCACTTTCATATAATTGTCTACCCATAGCCCACCATTGTGGACCTTGACCACTAAAAACAAAACATATTTTTTGTGCTAATGGTTTTGTTGGACGTGATATGATTGAAAGGCCTGGTGATGCTTGTTCAGTAAGAAAAGCATTGATTTGTTCTTGTAATTGTTGACGATTGAGAAAAACGAAGATTGCTGAATGTTGATAACTAATAGTTCTTTTAAGAAGAAGTTGTTGAGATATACGTTGAAGAAAAGCTTGATCATCATCATCTATATCATTAATTGGTTTTGTTTCTAACCAACGATTGAATTCAATTAATTGATTATTAAGAGATTGACGACTTTTTGCTAAATAAAAGGAAATAAATTATTTATTAATGAATAGAAATTAAGAACTTACTTGAAAAAATAAAAGTGAAATATTGTTTACTTTTATTGTGATATCCATTGATATGACCATTTGTAATTGATGTTTTATTTGGTTGATATTCTTCAATAATAGCATGTGTCGTTGTACCACCCATTCCAAATGAATTAACACCTATAGCTATTTTCTCATTATTTGGAAGAGATGGAAATGATATAAAATTTTGAACAATATGTAGATTATATTTTTGTGCATCTATTTTTGGATTAAGTGAAGTAAACTGCATATTTGCTGTAATACCACGATGATGCATACACATAGCAACTTTAATAAGTGATGCTACACCAGCTGCACCTTCTGTATGTCCTAAATTACTTTTAATTGAACCTAATAATAATGGTGGATCAAGATTTGATCGATTAAAAAATCGACCTAAAGAATTTGCTTCAATTGGATCACCAACTGGCGTACCTGTACCATGTGCTTCAACAAATAAGATTTTTCGAGTATCAAAATTATTTCTTGAATAAATATTTGCTAATAAACGTCCTTGTCCAGCAGCTGATGGAACGACAAAATTCGTTTTATCTTCATTTCCATCATGACCACTAAGTACATCACGAATAACACAGTATATACGATCTCCATCACGTTCAGCATCACTTAATCGTTTTAATAATAAAAGTCCAAGACCATCGCCTATACACAATATTTAAGTTGAAATTTATTTCGAAATAAAAATTAATCAATTGAATTCTTTACCTTTAGCATAACCATTAGCATCAGCACTAAATGATCGACTTCTTCCTTCAGGTGATTGTGCACCAATAAATGAATGTTGTAAAAAATTTTCTGGTGTAAAAAGTCCATTAACACCACCACATACAGCCATATCGGCTTCATTTGTACGAAGACATTGTACAGCCATATGTAAAGCTTCTAAAGATGATGAACAAGCAACATCTAATGAGACACTTGGGCCATGTAAATTAAAATGATATGATAAACGAGTTGAAGCATTATATAATAAACTATTAGGCCCATGAAATCTTGATCGATGTTCAGGTCTCATACGAGCTATTCCAGCTGCATGATCCGTTGAAAATTGTCCAATATGTACTGATGTTTTTGTACCATTGATTTTTTCAACGCTATATCCAGCATCATCAAGTAAATGAACAAATTTTAACATAAGTAATCGATGACATGGATCAACACTGCCTGCTTCAGCATCTGATAAATCAAAGAAACTTGGTTCAAACATATCCCATTGTTGATTCGACATAAAATAACCAGCGCGAAGAAGTTTTTGACGAAGTTGTCCATTATTATCCATATTAAACATATGAGCAGTAAATGATTCAATGTCAAATCGATCAATTGGTATTGCACTACCAACATCACGACTTTCTTTTAATGCATTCCATAAATCATTTGGTGAATGAATATCACCTGCAAATTCACAGGATATACCAATTAAAGCTATTGCTTCGAGTGATGTATTATTATTTATAGTTGACATTAGTATTTTTGTTTAAATATTAATTTCTAGATTAATATAATAGAGTTTTATATCTAAAATAAAAATGATAATTTTTCTGATCAGTCAAAATTTTAGGTAAGCTTTTAACTTTAATCAAATTTAATTAAGTTAAATTATTAAGTTTTTTATTTAATATTTAATAGTTTATGTTAATAAAAAAAACCGAACGAATGGATATTATTATTCATGCGTGTTATAATTCAAATTTGATAAAAATATACTTTAAAATATAAAACTGTTTCTGTTTATTAATTAGTAAATAAAAATGAGATATTAATATAAACTAGGACAAAGTCGTACTGTTCATAGTAAGCATAAGTATAGTGAGTATAGTTACGTATAGTTTGTTATTTCAAGTCAAAATTTGATTTCAGATTGTGGTCATATATGTTGTTGTTTTCTTTCGAAATACAGCTCGCCAATACTGTATATGTCCTTCGTACATGCTATTGTACATCTGAGTACCAGGTAATCCAGCAAACAAACGAAAATATTCTTGTTCTCTTGGTTGAACATAACGTTCAATAAATTCAGCACGAGTGTTGCTTTGAATGTCAAGTGCATGGAGAATATTCTTTGTAATATTGATCTTTTCTTCAACAATCAATTCACCATTTGCTGTTAAATAATCAATTGATGTATCTGATCCATCTATGTGAAATAAGTCACACCAAAGAAAATATCCATTTGGACGAAGTACACGGGCAACTTCACTAGCGAATCGTTGTACTGCTACTGGTCCACCATAAGCATGTGTTGCTTCAACACAAAGAACAATATCAAGGGACTCATTTTTAAATGGTAAATATTTTGTTGCATCAGCTACTACGAAGGAAAGTCGAGAAATCGTCGAATGGCGTTGTCGACATACATCAATGACACCGGAAGAAAGATCAGCTCCCACATAAGAATCAGGTATATAATTATGGACGCACCAAACAGCACCAGCACCTCTACCACAACTCACTTCAAGTACATTCTGATTTGTAAGTGATACGTGTGCAAGGACCTATATCGAAGAGCAGAACATTTTAGTCTTAATTATTATATCTCAAAGATGTAGATATTCTGTTGATCGCACATCCAATAAAAGGAAATTCTATTTATTATACGTCCAATGTACAAAGAAAACACTGAACTCTATATTATTCATTTTTGATTATTTACCTGTTTATATAGTTGTTTCGAACAGTAGTCGGAATTATCGTCAATATGCTCATCAAGATCTGCATAGCCATAATTCATAAATTGTAGTTCATCAACGTTCGAATAAGTATTTGCAATCCACTCATACCAGAAAGACAAGCTATCCACGTTTTCAGATGATTGTTGTTGTTCGACTTTATTACCACGAACCAATGCAGATTGAGATGATGCTGCTTTTGTTGTCAAAAGTCCTACGAAAAATAAACTTAGTATATTAAAAAATAAATTCATTGGTATACAATGATTACAAACAATTAATCTAACTTTAACTAAGGTATAAGTATAGTTTATCATATGTAATGATTGATCTAGAAGTTCAGAATATAATCTCGTTGGAATGATAGACAACATCAATCAGATAATTTTCCAAGTGAATTATCAGCAAAGACATTTCAGAATAGTACATTTAATTCAATCCTTTTTTATTTGAGCTTATTTTTTTAGCTTTTGAAGAACAATATAAATTACGCAGTATCATATAAGTCTGTCTCGATAGAAAGAATTAGTTCGATATAAAAAATAAAGGATGAAAATGAATCGTGTCATCAATAGTAGAACTGAATGAATAATGAATAGTCATAATAAACAAAGTTCCATTTGCTGAATATTAAATAGCATCCCAAAAGTATTATAGTGGGTGGCTCATAATAAAGTAGAGACTGAAAATGAATCACCGTGAACCGAACTAAACTGGATCTAGTTTTGTGAGAGATGATTTAACGTAGTCTAATATCACATGAAATTTATGTAAGTGTGAACTTTAACGTAACGTCTCTAACTGTACGAAAAATACATTTTAACTAATGATTTGTACTTAATCAAGTTGATCAAGTAGATCAAATACTATTCGAATAAAACCTTATTTGAACTAAAATGGATTCAGAAAAATGCAATTCAATAGATTTCTTATGCTGTATCTTGTGATATATTTTGTTTTTTCATGAAATATATTCGGGCGTCCAAGTATACAATAGAAAATGCGATGATTTATTATGTATCACTATTGATAAGTATGATTCTATCTATGTAAATAACTTACTTGCAGGAAGTCCTTTCCATTGAGTATTTGGTAGTAAGATATCATTTTTCATGACCAATGTAAATGGATAAAGTCTATTGTTGCCCATCAATTTGCAGCCTGCCATCACAAATGAACCACTCATAAGCACACATGACTTTCTAATTGTCACAGGAGCTAGCTTCAGGATACTTTGTTCAAAACTATGACACTAAAACAATTTAAAGATAAATATTCTTTATAAAAGAGTATAAGAAAATATAGTTATAGTGTACCTGAATATTAGCATGCATATTAAGTCGAACATCATTTTCAATAGTTATTAAATGATAATCAGTAAGACAAGAAACATCAGGTATGATAACACCTTTACCAATGCGTGCACCAAATGCACGAAATAAATTGATTAAACATTGTGTATTGCCAAGAAATGGACAAATGAATTGTTGATGATCTTGTCTTAGTCTTGAAATTATTTCTTGTACTATTGGATAGTGTATGTATGAGCGATATCGGTAGGTGATACAAATAAGTATTGTATGAATAATTAACATACCAACGACACCAGTTAATGAATAAATAGTTAAGAGAAGAGATTTACTGATGAAATAAGAAAAACATGTATGCCAAATAGGAGTGATTTTCATTTGATCTGCTGTTGTTGTTGATGATGATCTCAAAGGCATTTTGAATGGCATGACACAAGCTGGAACACCAATAAAAACGTCTCCTGTGCTACTATTTGTCTCTCGAGAGACGCGTGTTAAATTGCCAATCATTGTCTCAGATGCAAGATGACTACCCGGTAAAACTGAACATCCATTCGCAAGATTTGTATAAGATCCAAGTGTTATGTGATCTACACAATGCTCACCTGAAAGTGTCAACTCAGTTGGAACTAATAATACTGAACCAAAAGTAGTGACTCCTGTTTCAAAATGTAATAAATTTGTTGGATAAGACAAGAATGTATCTATTTCACCGATTTTAACATTATCTCCAATATGAGCACCTAACCAACGAAGTATAATAGGATAAATATGATCATAACTATTTAGTAGTAACCATGCATGATGAAAACTAGATACAATTAATTGACGAAGCCATAATTTATGTAAATATGACCATGATGCAATTGGATATGTTTCACCAGCAGCACAAGAACCAACTATAAATTTTAAGAGAATAACAGAAATAAAACAACTAAGAATTGACCATAATGTCCAACAAAAAGCAATACAAATAGGTAATGGTATTTGTACAATTGAATAAACTTTGTAAATGATGATCAAAAGTATTGAATGTATACAGATCAGTAAGCAAAGTGCAATAACCTGAAAGAGTTTATGCCATATTGATAATGATCTATTATTGTATGCCATGAATGTATTTGTAGAAGAGGATTTATCATCATCACCATCGATAATCGTTTGAGATGCAACAAAACCATTAACTGATGACATTGGTTGTACAATAACATTTTTTTCTATATTAACTCCATCATATAAAATTGTTCGTGTACCAATAGAACAATTAGAACCGATACTAATTGGATACAACTGAAAAGTATTATTATCATTATTAAAATGTAAACAATTAAAAGCTGTTTGATCAGCAATCCAAGTTTCATCATCAATATCTAATAGCCATGGAGCATCCATAATTGTACTATAAATATGTGCATCAAGACTAACATCAGCACCACAAACACGAAGATAATTATTGTAAAGTGGTGTACCAATTATATGTTGTAACCAAAATCTATTATTATTCCATAATCGATCTAAAAACCACCATCGATAATAATTCCAAGAGAAGATATTGTCAGGTTTATTATTTTTAAATGAAAATAAACGTGAACAAATGACATATAACATGAGATGAAAGATGGGTAAAATAAAGAATAAAAATGGTTGACATCGATTAATAATTATCATTATTGGTAATACCCATTGACAAATAAGAAGTATAATACCAACAGATTCGATTAAAGGTGATGGTAAAGATAGAATATGTGTTTCATCATCTTGTTTACTTGTGATAATTGTATCTTGTGATTCATTCACAATTAACAAAGGTTCGATGGCTTGTGCTAATTGTCGTATAGATGGATTAGAAAATAATAGAACAATATCAATATTAGTACATATTTTTTGTCGTATTAATGTAAGCGCAAGAATTGCATTCAAAGATGTTCCACCAAGTTGACCAAATGGAACTTCAATAGGAGGTAATTCAATATGAAATGCTTGGCTAAAGATATTTTGTAATTGTTGTTCTAGAGTAGTGCATGGTACACTAGCATCATGATGAATTGTTAACGAAGAGAAATCAGGTTGAGGAAGACATTTTCGATCAAGTTTTCCATTTATATTTAAAGGAAATCGTTCGAGTAAAATGAATTTTGATGGTACCATATATGATGGAAGATGAGAACGACATTGTTGAAGTAATAATTCTTCATTAACATCAATACATTGTACATAAGCAACTAAATGTTGTTCATTCCATTTAATAACAGTACAAGCAAATACAGATGAAGATGTATTTATAAGACATTTCTCAATTTCAGCTAATTCAATACGTTGTCCTCGTAATTTTACTTGATGATCTTTTCTACCTTTGAAATAAAGAAAACCCTGTTGATCATACCGAACAACATCACCACTTCGATAAAATATATTATTATTAATCTCAACCAATACTTTTGCCGTCAAATCATCACGACCAAAATATCCAGCAAATACACATACACCACCAATAAATAATTCACCTTCTTGATTAACAGCAGAAAATTGAAAATATTCATCCATAATTGCACAATGATAATTAGGAAGTGGTTTTCCAATTGACATTACTTGTTTATCAGAATCAAAATCGAATCCTATTTGAAAATATGTTGAAGTAATTGTTGCTTCTGCTTGACCATACGTATTCCATCGTCGACAGCCGTCTGACGACAATGGTGATGATGGTAGAGATGCATATTTTTTTAAACGAGACATTATTTGATTTGTTAAAACATCACCTAGAAAATGAGATAAATACTTTTTGTTTCTCAATAAAAATATTCGATTCAAATAGATTTACCTCCACTACTTAATGTTCGCAATTTCTTTAAACATTCAGTTTCATTTTGTATTTCGAGATGCTGACATATTGTATCAAGATAACTTGGTACAGCTTCCAAAACAGTCACATCTTTGTCCATTACTTGATGAATAAAATAAGTTAAATCTTTATTACCATGAGGATGTAACATAATTAAACCAGCACCAATCATTAATGTTACAAAAATATCTTGAAAATGATTATCAAAAGAACAACTTGCCATTTGTATCACGTTGTCACTTTTTTTAAATGCTGTCTTTTCGTCAAGACTTTGCATATAAGCAGTTAAGTTACGATGTCGCACTTGAACCTAGATATATATGTTTAGATATACAAATGAAGAATTCAAAAAATTATATAAAACAAACCGCTTTTGGTATTCCTGTTGAGCCACTTGTAAAAACAATATACGATATATTATCTGGAGTTATTGGAATATTTGATAATCGATAAAGATCATCATTTGTAATTTTATCGTTACAAGTTATAATTGTATCAATATCATATTTAATAAAACTATTGTTAAATATTTGATTTGTTAATGAATGAACAAGTATAAGACGAGCTTGTGTTTGTTCTACAAGACTTGCAAGACGTTGTTCAGGATTTTCTGGTGATAATGGACAATAAACACCACCAATTATTTCAATTGATAATGAACCAACGATCTATAATTAGAGATTAGCGATCAGAGATAGATAATAAATTATTTCTTTGAAAACTTACCATTGATAAACTTCGTTCTGCTAATTGACAAATGATATCACCAGATTTAATATCATATCTATTGATTATTTGAAGAGCAAGTTGTTGTACATAAAATAATAGTTCATTATATGTTAAAGATTGTTCATCAAGAAGAACAGCTAATTTTTGTGGATGATTTTCAACTTGTTGTTGAAATAAATCACCAACAGTAACTCCTTGACTTTGACTGTCCGTATTTTTATTCATCAATTGATCAATTAATATTCGCTCATGTGGTAAAATAATTGATAAATCATAAAGTGAATGTGATAATGAATTGTAATCAAATAATTGTTGAAATAAAAGTGCAAATCGAGAACCAAGAATATCCACTGTATTTTGATCAAAAAGATCTTGTGAACAAACTAATTCGATTGACATTATATCATGAACTGCAGATGGATTATAGACAAATGTTAATAACCAATCAAATTTAGCTACATCATCTATACTTTGAGTTGGATTGACTTCAAATTTTGAATTGCATAAATTTAACTTATTAGTATCAAGAGAATGAGTAACAAAATCAAATGCATTTTCAAGAAAATTCATAGTCAATTGTAAATGTTGAGAATCAGCAAGAATATGTTGAAGAGGATAATGTGAATGTTCAGTAATTGAAAAACATTTTTCTCGAACTTGTTTAGCAAATTGTTCAAATGAATTATATGGATTGATTTCAGTACGATAAGGAAGAGTAGCAACAAACATACCAACTAATTTTTGTAATTCTGATCTATATCGATTAGCACTTGTACAAGCAGCACATAGATCAGTTGTACCATTCGTTAATTTAAACATCAAAATATAGAACGTAGCTAAACCAAGTTGAAATGGTGTAATTTCATGTGTTGAAGCATATGAAAGAAAAGAACGAGATAGATTATCATCTAATGAAAATTCAATATGAACAGTATAAGGTGATCGTTGATCATTAACTATTCGATATCGATCCATTGAAAATGGTCGTTGAGATTCTGAATTATATCCATTTAGTTGTTTAAGCCAAAATTGACGTGCTAAATTCATATTTATTTTTCGTTCATATACAGCAAAATCAATACATTGAAATGTATCTTCATTGATAGAAATTTGTTTATCATGTTCATATGCAATATTAAGATCATCGAAGAATATTTCAGTAGAAGCTCGATCATATGCTACATGATGAAAAGCAAATACAAGTATATCTGATTCTTGAAGTAGATCATCATTTTGAATAGATGAATATTGTCGAAGAATTTCACAACAGAAAACATGGCCACTAGATAAATTAAATAGATCTGGATTTGTTTTTATTTGGAAAATGACTGAATTAAGTTCATTATCATTCTTAAATGTTTTTTCAGTATTAAACATAAACATTAAATGATTTTGTGTGACACATTGTGTTAATGTACCAGCATCAGTGTCAAGAATAAGACAAGTACGAAGAATTTGATGTTTTTCTAATACTGATTGAATAGCTCGTTGTAGATGACTCTTTGATAATGTACCATCTGTAAGTTTTAATATCATCAATTCATTATAAACAGATACATTATTCATAAAACGTACTTGCTGGTCGAGATAGATACGTTCTTGTGCAAATGATGCCATTCCTGTAAGTTTAATAAAGATAAAATATATATAAATAATGAAAAGGTAATTTTTTGTTTTTGAAATATCTTACCTTTTATTAAATGAAGTGATTGCCATGTTTCTTCTATTACTACATCAGTTGATTTGATTGAGTTAAGTAATTTAGCATGTTCAATAATTGTTGTTTTTTGAAGGAATAATGCAATAGAAAGTAACTCATTAGTAAAAGAAAATATTGATTGATAACGATGATAAAGTTGAATAAATAAAAGTGAATGTCCACCAACAGTGAAAAAGTTTGCTGAAGTTGAAATTTCATCTTGTTCATTGTTATTATTACGATGAAGAATTTCACACCAGATAGATAAAAGTTTTTCTTCGATTGAATTATTTGGATTTGTATGTTGTATATCTGTTGTTTTTATTGATGATGAGGAAAAATTTGGTTGAGGAAGAAGTTTTCGATCTAATTTACCATTTGCATTCAATGGAAATTTTTCAAGAACAATGAACATAGAAGGCACCATAAATGGTGGTAATCGAGAACGACAATGATCACGTAAATATTCCACATTATTATCATTACTTTGAACATATGCAATCAAATGATCATTACTCCATTTAATTACAACACAAGCTGAAATCGAAGTATCAAGTAAACATCGTTGAATTTCATCTAATTCAATTCGTTGTCCATGAATTTTTACTTGATGATCTTTACGTCCAAGATAATAAACTAAACCATTACTATCCATTCGAGCAAGATCTCCTGTTTGATAAAAACGTTTTTCATTAATTTCAATCAATGCTTTGTTTGTTAAATCATCACGACCTAAATAACCAGCAAACACACCACTACCACTTATAAGTAATTCACCTTCTTGTCCAACTATGACAGATTGATTGAAACTATCAATTAAATGTACTTGCATATTAGGAAATGGAATACCAATTGCAATTATTCCATCATTTATTTCATGAATAGGTACTCGATGATATATAGAAGTAAGTGTAGTTTCAGCAGGTCCATATAAATTATAATAAGCTGTCGTATTTAGATCAAAATAGTTGATCATTTTAGCAAGTGTTCTCGTGTCGATTGCTTCTCCTATAATTAAATAAATATATTATTAGTAATAATGAATCGTAGAATGTACATGTTGTTCTTCCCATCCGCATCCATCTTATATATACATATGAAATACGGATAGAATCTTACCGAGAAAGCCAAATTTTCGAATAGTATTAAGATGAGTCAATTGTTTTGTGTCAATGAGATAATTATGTAAGATAGTCATCACCGATGGAACAACACTAAAAAATGTAATATAATGTTGCTGCACTGTTTTTGATAAATAACTATAATCCATTGTGCCTCCTGGATGTAATTGAATAACAGTACCACCAACGATTAATGTACCTAAACATTCTTTAACATGAACATCGAATGTACATTGAGTCATTTGAATGACAGTATCATCTTTTGTTAATATTCCAAGATCATTCAAAGATGACATACAATTCAATAAATTACGATGCATAATTTGAACCTTTAGACAATAAAATAAAATAGAATAATATGATATTATTATGAATTAATTATTACGGCTTTTGGTGTGCCTGTTGAACCACTTGTAAAGATTACAAAAGCAACATTTTTCGAGTTTATTGTGAAAGTTGAAAATAGATCTAAATGATTTGTATTGATTGTTTCATTATTATTATTTATTATCATTGTATTAATATTAATTATCATTGTTTTCTCTTCGAATTTATTTTGTGTTGTCCAATCTACTAGAACTAGATTACTTTGAGTTTGTTCGATAAGAGATCGAAGACGATGTTCATGATCCCGAGGTGATAATGGACAATAAGAACCACCAGCCATAATAATAGATAACATACCAATAAACTATAATATAAGAATAATTAATTAAATAGAAATATTTCGTTTCATATAAGATAACTTACCATTGATATACTACGATCTATACATTGACAAACAACATTACCAGAAATAAAATTTGAATTTGTTAAAAATTCAAGAGATAAACATTGTGCATAATATAATAATTCATTATAAGTAAGAGATTGTTCATCAAGTTCTATAGCTATCTTTTGTGGTTGTTTATTTACTTGCTGGATAAATTCATGTTGTATACAATGGTTAGATGAAGAAAATAAAGTTTGAGTATTATTCATTGATGCCATAAGAATCTTTTCATTAGGTAATATTATTGATGATTCATGAATCGATTGACAAGTTTGATCTATTAAATGTAATATGAAAAGTTGTTGAAGTAAAACTTGAAATCGTTGTCCAATTTTATATATTGTTGATGGGTTGAATAAGTCAAGAGATGCATCGATTGTACATGATAATTGATCGGTTATTGTATCATGTATAATACTTAGAGAAAAATCAAATTTACTTGCAATTTCATCTGTATTTATTTTAATTGAATAGGGCATAGTATAAATAGGAACATCTCCTAATGTCACTTCATTATGATTATCATCAGTTGGAAAAGAAACAAATCCAAAGAATACATCAAGAAATGTAGGACGAGAAATATGTGGATGTTGAGCAAGAATACGTTGAAGAGGAAAATAAGAATGTTCGAATGTTTGTGTAGCGGTTGTATCTACATGTTGTACAAATTCATCAAATAAATAATTAGAATTAATTTGACATCGCATTGGAAGTGCGTTAACAAACATTCCAATAATTGACATTAATTCAGGTTTCGAACGACCATGATTATTCATAACAACACATATATCATTTTCATTATTAGCTAATTTAAATAAGAATGTATAATAAGAAGCAAGTGCTAAATATTCAAGTTTAATATTATAAGTTGAAGCATAAGTTAGAAATGCTTTCGAAAGATCGTTGTCAAATCGAAATAAAATTGAAGTTCCACGACCTGTACGATGTTCATCAGAAACACGATGTCGATCAAATGGTAATTGTAAAGGTCGATCGATTTCACAATCACGAAGAGTATCAAGCCAAAAAGCATTGGCAGCTGTCATCGGCATTTGTTGTTCAGCCACAGCATCTTAAATAAAATGAAAAGTATGTCAGTGTAAAATATAAAAACAATAAACTAAATAAGTTAACATACAATCAAGATAACGCAAACTTGTATTATCATCATTTTCTAAGTAACCCATTGTGTATGCTTTATCAAGATCTTGACGAAACATTTTCACTGATAGAAAATCAAATAAAGCATGATGAAAATTAAAGATAAGTGCATCTTTTTCACAAATTATTCCTTTTTGAGAAATGTTTTTATAATAAACAACATGACATCGACAAGCAACACCAGTTAATAAATTAAAATTATTTGGATTCCCACGTTCATTATGCATAATTTTATTGAGATCTTCATCTGTTTCGAAAGTACTTTCAATAAATGTAAATAATTCTTTGTTGTCAATATGATCCATAATCTTTTGCATTAATATATTTTTCTTTGTATCGAAATAGAGTGATGTACGAAGAGCAGAATGTTTTATAAGAACATGTTGTAAAGCTTGACGAAGTTTAGATATTGATAGAGTACTACCTAATGAAAGTCGATGAAGAAAAGGCATATTATATATGGCAACTTGTGAATTTTTTGAATCAAAACGAATTCGTTCATCAAGCCAAATACGTGCTTGAGCATATGATGCTGGTGCTATATAATAATTATAAATAATAATAACAATGAAATGTATTTTTAATATTGTTCTAGTTTGATTTTTTAAGTTCATTGTTTTTTCTCATTAAGTCATATAATGAAATATCAATGAAATATTTATCACATACAGTATTTCTCGGAAATAGTCTACTAAAAGTTTTTTCCGTATGTCTCTGCTATTTCATTTAATTTTCTCGACAAATGTACTGTTTAAAGGTAAAGATGAGTATAACGAGTTTGGATTTTTTCGAATGATATATAAAACTTTAGTTGTTTTTGTCAAGTGCAATTAATTAAAAAGTCAACTAAACTTTTATCCTTGATATTTTCATGTAAGAGGATAGATCTCATTAAGTCCAGCAAGAATATGGATATCGAACAAGTCTTATAGCTTTTCTGTGATACAGAGTTAACAGAGAACTACTATAGGAGATTCAGGTAAATAGAGAAAAAAACGAACAGCTAAGATTTTTCTAACAAAACAAAGAACGTAAAAGTTTTGTTTCTCAACTAAAAGTAATACTTTCGCAGATTACTATGTAAAATCGTTTGTATCAATCAAGACTCGGTATATTTATTTTTCATTTAAATCATAAATTTTTTAGGGAAGTTAAACTAAATAGCAAAGATATGAAAAAACTTTTGGGAAGTCATTTCTGGGATACTATGTACATGTATATCTCTATTATCGTCTCAATAATTTTCTCAAATACACTGTAAATATATATACCTTCATTTGTAATATCTAATTGTCGACAAAAAACTATTCGTTCCATTTCATGAATTTCTTCTGATAAAATAAGACTAAGTTTGGTAATAGGTGACAGGATGAAATCAGTCTGATTAATATTAGAATTCATTGAAAACAATTGTTCTAAAACATGTTGAAATCTTTGACTTATGACGTTAACGGTTGTTTGATCAAATAAATCACGTGAACAAACAAAAGAACAACACAATTGATTATCATCTGATGATGAATTGTATACAAAGTTTAATGAGAAGTCAAATTTAGCCACTTTATATGATTTTTGTAACGACACTTGTTCTAGATTAACACCATTCAAACGTAATCCACCCACATCTTTTGATATAGTGATGAAATCAAACATTGTTTCAAGAAATGATACACTTGATTGAGTGAGATGTAAATCACTAAGAATATGTTGTAATGGATAATGAGAATGTTCAAGAATTGATAAACATTTTTCTCGCACATGTTGGACAAGTTCATTAAATGACCAACTAGAATCAATTTCTAAACGATTTGGTAATGTTGAAACAAACATTCCAATCATATTCACTAATTCACTTCGATATCGATTTGCATTAATAGAACCAATACATAGATCAGTTTGACCATGAGTTAATTTGAATAGAAATACATAAAATATGGATAATCCAAGTTGAAAAAGTGTGAGATGATGTGATGATGCATAGTTGAGAAATGATGTGCATATTTCATTATCAAAAATGATTTCAGCTGTGGATGCTGAACCTGATCGTTGTTGATTATTTGATGAACGTTGTCGATCAAATGGTAATGATAATGAACATTCGATATTATATTCTTCAAGTTGAGAATGCCAGAACTCACGAGATAATGACATATCCATGATATGTTCATGAACAGAATAATCTATATAATTTAATAGTTTATCATCCATAGATAATGAGTCATCAGACTGATAAGCAACAGAAAGATCACGAAGAAAGACTGATGTTGATGCTCCATCAAACATCGCATGATGAACGGTGAATAAGATCAGATCATTTTTAGTCAACAGAACATCATTCTCACATGAAATATTATCTTGAGATTGATGATAACGACGAAGAATATGACAATTAATAACACTTCCTTTTGATAAATCGAATAAAGTAGGTTGATTTAATATTTCTTTAACCATTTCATTCATGTGACGATGATCATCAGTATTAAGATTAATGATTGTGAATCCATGTGATTTCATATCACTATCGAGAATGACATTTCCATCTAAACAATGTTGTGTAATATTACCATTTCTATCATCAAGATAAAGTGCTGTTCGAAGAATATTATGTTTTGTGATAACACTTTGAAATGCATGATATAATCGAGTAATTGATATATAATCATTCATAGATGATATACGATAAAGTAATGGAATAACATACATATTATTCATGGTTGTTTTGGATGAAAAACGAATTTGTTCATCTAAGTAGATTCGTTCTTGTGCAAATGATGCTCTAGCTCAAATGAGATAAAAAGATTAACATGTAGTTGATAATATTTAATACAAATTGTTTTATTTACCTTGAATGAGATATAATGAAGACCAAGGATAATCATCCACAGTGTGAATGGTATTTAGAGATTGTTGAATGAGTTGAGCATGATGGATAATTGTTGGATGTTGAAACAGATTCGAAATAGAAAGAGAATTTGTTTCTAAATGAAATTCAATCTTGTATTGATGAAAAAGTTGCATCATAAGTAATGAATGACCACCAATAGTAAAGAGATTTGTATCAGCTGAGATTTGGTTTTGTTCTAATATCTCACACCAAATACGATTAATGCTGACTTCAATATGATTGGTTGGTAATACTAGTTCTATAGTGTTTGTGAGATGTACAGATGAGAAGTGAGGTGAAGGAAGAAGTTTTCGATCTATCTTTCCATTTTGATTCAGAAGTAATTTATCTAGTATAATAAAGACAGATGGAATCATATGTGGTGGAAGATGAGATTGACAATGTTCACGTAATTCCTGTTCAATAATATCAGAACTTTGAACATATGCTACTAAATAATCGTCATTCCATTTCATGACAACACAAGCAGAGATGGATGTGATATTAAGTAGACATCGTTCGATCTCACCGAGTTCAATTCGTTGTCCATGAAGTTTGATTTGATGATCTTTTCTTCCTTTATAATGAAGCAGACCATTGCTATCCAATCTAACAAGATCACCTGTTCGATAAAATAGTTGACCATCTATTTCAACAAGAGCTTTTGCAGTTAAATCATCACGTCCGAGGTATCCAGCAAAAACACCAACACCTCCAACAAATAATTGACCTTCTTGGGAATCAGTGACGGACTGTAAGAAATCATCTATGATTAAACATTTGTAATTTGAAAACGATGTACCGATCGGAACAGTCTTCATATTAGACATTTCATTAACTAAATGATGTGTAGTTCCTAGTGTGGCTTCAGCTGGGCCATACAAATTCCAAACACGACAAGATTTTACCATATGATACATCAATAATTTCTTCAAAGAGAACAACATTGGTTCGCCTAAACAAATATCTGAATGTTAATCTGACCTCTTGGAATTAACTTACCGACACAGCAAATATTTCTTATTGATATCCATGAATGAGTCGTACTCGGCTGGATGAAGTTACATAAGTGAGTGACAAACGATGGAACAACTAGCAAATGCGTCACTTGCTTTGCATGTAGAATATGATTGAGATATGCGAAATCTATATTACCATCAGGGTGCAGCATAATTACTGTTGCGCCAGAAATCAAAGTAGCTAAAATTTCTTGTACATGCGCATCAAATGTCGAAGTAGCAAGTTGCATGACAATGTCATTTTTATGTAGAGCACCAATGTGCATGAATGAATGTGTAAAATGTATAAAATTCTGATGTCTTACTCGAATCTATAGAGATAAACGATCAAAATTCAAGAAAATATTATGTAACAAACTCCAAAACATACTGATTTTGGTATTCCAGTTGAACCACTTGTGAAGATAATATAAGCAATATTAAATGGTGTGACTGTAATATAGGATAGTCGTTCAACGTTAATGTCACTGATTATATCATTATTAATCCATGTTGAATGAATGTCAATCGAAACAATTTTATTATTAAATTTGGACTTTGTCGACCAGTGAACAAGAACAAGACGACTATCAGTTTGTTGTACAAGTGTGTGTAAACGATGTTCTGGATCTCGAGGTGACAATGGACAGTAAACACCACCAGACATTTCAATCGCCATAATACCAATTACCTATACAATATGAAAACATCAATCACACTAAACATCAATCTCAAACAACAACTCACCATCGACAAACTTCTCTCGACACATTGACATATAATTTCACCTGGAAATATATCATATTCATTTAGAAGAGTTAAAGATAACACTTGAACATAATGTAGAAGTTCAGCATAAGTCAGAGATTGTTCATCTAGTTCAACAGCTAGTTTTTGTGGATGTTTTATTACTTGACTTACAAATTCATGATGAATACAACTGACAGAAGATGGAAACGATATTTGTGTATTCTTCAATGATTGCATTAGTAATCTTTCATTCGGTAATGTTAATGATATTTCATAGATTGACTTCCCCATTTGATCATGAACAGATGTAAACAATTGTTGCAAGATTGAATGAAATCGTTGAGATATCTTATCAATTGTTTCTACATTGAATAAATCAAGTGATGCATTGATTGTACATGAGAGTTGATTGATATTGACATCAAATGGGATTATAAGTGAGAAATCGTTAATGTTCATTGTGGAAGGTATGGAAGAGAGTTGACTATCATCAATCATTATTAATTTATTGTCAATTGTTGTCATCAATGATAGAAATTCAAATGATATATCAAGAAACGCAGCTTTCGAAACATTTTGATGTTGATTGAGAAGACGTTGAAGAGGAAAATAGGAATATTTCATACTATTGGTTGTCATCTCTCGAACATGATCGAGTAGATATTGGAAAGACCAGTGAGGATTTAATTGACATCGTAATGGAATGGTATTCTCAAACAGTCCAATTATAGATTTTAGTTCATCTCTATAACGATTGTCGATATTCATTCCAATACATACATCTTGTTCACCGTTCGTTAGTTTGAATAAGAAGATAAAGTATATAGCAAGTGCTAGATGTTGATGTTTGATATTGTTTGATGATGCATAGGTAAGAAAATGCTGTGAAACATCCTGACCAAAATCAAAAGAAATCGATGTTGCCCTATTAGTTCGATGTTCATTCATAAGACGATGTCGATCATATGGTAATGACAAAGGTTGATCAAGTTTACAATCACGAAGAGCATCAAGCCAAAACATACTTGCACCAGTCATGGACATTTGTTGTTCAATAACAGCATCTAAATAAGAAGAAAGAAGCAGTTTAAATGGAACAAGGAATTGAATATACTTACAATCGATATAACGTAGAGTAGTGGCATCATCAGCTGTTAGCTGATCTGTTTTGTAAGCTTGATCGAGATCATGAAGAAATATATTCATTGATGGATAATCAAAGAAGGCATGATGAAAGTTGAAGATAATTATATCTTTATCTGATAGGATGTTGTTGGAAGAGATTTGTTTATAGTAAACAATATGACATTGAAAGACAAGACCTTGAGCAAGATCGAAAAGTTGAGGATTACATTTCTTATTTTCGATGATAGTATTGAGTTGTTCATCTGTTTCGTAAGTACTTTCAGTAATTGTAAACATGTCATTATTGATATGTTGTTGAGTGGGAACTCTCTGCATGAGTATATTTTTGTTGAAATCGTAAATGAGTAATGTATGAAGTGATTCATGTTTGTTAACAATGAGTTGAAGAGCATGACGAAGTTGATCTACAGATAAAATATCTCCTGTGTAGAGACGATAGAAAAATGGCATATTATGGGTCGTTAAAGATGATTGATCAGTATCAACATCTCTTTGGTTTTCTGACCATATTCGACATTGTGCCAAGGACGCTGGTGCTATAAAAATTAAAGTTTAGTTGATTACAGTGAGTAATAATGATAATTAATTTTCTCTCTCATAATATTATTGCCCTCTAAGTTTATCTATTTTCTGACTGAATTGAATCAATATTGTTGCCAGTTACACGAGTCACCAATGTCATATATAAAAAATATGCTTCATCTAAAAATACATCAAAATTTATAAAAAGAACTACGGTCAATGTTTGTCATAAACTTTTAGTAATCAAGTTTCCAAGCAATAGAAGAATATTTTCTTAGCAAAAGAAGATTTTCATTTAAATCGTACTATCTCATTTTAGTGTTTTCATTAGTATATGTCTGAGTGTGTGTGATGCATGTAATATAAATCATGTTTTAGATCAGAACATTTTACTTTGGAAAGAAAAACATTGTACAGAAACTTCAAAAAACTAACGTGAGATCTGAAACTAACTAGCTTTTCACGTGATCTTGCTACTACGCATAAATTAAATAAAGTTAGATTATACATACTACAAAAAAATGAAATAAAAAGCAGGAGACGAGTGATTTTTCAAGATAATGCTATCTATATGATGTCACCGCAGCATTAATCATGAACATCTCAGTACGTTTGCATTTCAATCAAAAAGAAAAGATCCTACAGCAAACACAATAATATATCAATACATAGTTCATCTGAATCCTTTTTTAACGTCAAACGTTCTAACTGATATAAGTGCTGTATGCACTAGAAATAATTAAAAACTAAGCATACCTTCATTAATAATATTTTCCAATCTGTGAAATATTATTGCTTGTCTTTCTTCAACTTCTTCTGGTAGAATAAGATCAAATTTTGATATAGATGTGCAATATAAATCAATGCATTTTGTGTTCGATTTCGATGAAAACAGTAGTTCTAAAGCATGTTGAAATCTTTGACTTATCACTGCAACTGTTCTCTCACCAAATAAATCACTTGAACAAACAAAAGAACAACATAGTTGATTATCATCTAACGATGGATTGTATATAAAGTTTAATGAGAAGTCAAATTTAGCCATTACATACAATTTATTTAACGACACTTCTTCTAAATTAATACCATTCAAACATAAATTATTAGTATTTTTTGACACAGTAATAAAATCAAACATTGTTCCAAGAAATGAGACATTCGATTGATTTACTCGATTATCACCAAGAATATATTGTAATGGATAATGAGAATGTTCAAGAATTGATAAACATTTTTCTTGTACATATGTAACTACTTCATCAAGTGACCAATGAGGATCAAGCTCAACTCGATATGGTAATATTGAAACAAACATTCCAATCATATTCACTAATTCACTTCGATATCGATTTGCATTAATAGAAGAAATACATAAATCAGTCTCACCATGAGTTAATTTGAATAGAAATGCATAAAATATGGATAATCCAAGTTGAAAAAGTGTGAGATGATGTGATGATGCATAGTTGAGAAATGATGCACATATTTCCTCATCAACAGTGATTTGAGCTGAAGAAGCTAAACCTGATCGTTGTTGATTAGCTGATGAAGGTCGTCGATCAACAGGTAATGATAATTGGCCTGTAAGATTATATCCTTTGAGTTCTAACAACCAAAATTCTTGGGATAATGCCATATCTATTATGCATTCATGAATAGAATAGTCGATGTATTGTAATGAATCATTATCTATAGGAAGTAAATCATTAGATTGATAAGCAAGAGAAAGATCACGAATGAAGATTGATCTTGATGCTCCATCAAAACAAGCATGATGAATGGTAAATAATATCAGATCATCTTTCGTCAATAGATCATCATTAATCTGAGTAAGTGAATGATTTGATTGATCACGACGAAGAATATGACAATTCATAACATGTCCTATTGATAAATCAAACAAATCTGATTGATTTAAAATCTTCTTTACAATTGCATTCTGTTCATGTTCTTCATCGGAAAGATTAATTATTGAAAATCTAGGTGATTTGTTATCATTGATAATAGCATTTGTATCTAAACAATGTTGAATAATGGTACCATTTGTATTAAGATAGAGTGCTGTTTGAAGAATTCGATGTTTTGCTATGATAGCTTGAAATGCATGTTGCAATCGTGGAATTGATATATGATCATTCATAGATGAAACACGATAAGTTAATGGAATAACATACATGTTAGTATTACTATCTGTGGATGAAAATCGAATCTGTTCATCTAAGAAAATACGTGTTTGTGCAAATGATGCTTTAGCTAGAATGAGAGAGCATAATATAGTCGATGAAATATTCTTAAAAACTATGAGCTACCTTCAATGATATGTAATGAAGACCAATGATAGTGATTGTTATTCTTTATCACATTCATAGTTTGATAAATGAGTTGAGCATGATCGATAATTGTTGAATGTTGAAAAAGATCAGTAATCGAAAGAGTGTTTATTTCTAAATTAAACTCGGTTTTATATCGATGAAATAGTTGCATAATGACAAGTGAGTGACCACCAAGAGTGAAGATATTTGTGTTAGTTGAGATTTGTTTTTGTTTTAATAGATCGCACCAAACATGATGAATGATGATTTCAATTTCATTTGTTGGTAACAATAGTTCATCATGATTAGTGAGATGAATTGATGAAAAGTTAGGTGGTGGAAGAAGTTTTCGATCGATTTTTCCATTTGCATTCAGTGGTAATTTGTCAAGTATAATAAAGAGAAATGGAATCATATGTGGTGGAAGATGAGATTGACAATATTGACATAGTTGTTCTTCGTTAATATCAGAACTTTGAACATATGCAACTAAATAATCATCATTCCATTTAATGACAACACAAGTAGATATTGATGTAATATTAAGTAAACATCGTTCGATTTCACCGAGTTCAATTCTTTGTCCATGAAGTTTGATTTGATGATCTTTTCTTCCTTGATAGTAAAGAAGGCCATTATCATATATTTTAACAAGATCACCTGTTCGATAAAATAGTTGACCATCTATTTCAACAAGAGCTTTTGCAGTTAAATCATCACGTCCAAGATACCCGGCAAACACACCTACTCCTCCGACAAATAACTCTCCTGTTTGACTAATACATGTGCTTTGCAAGAATTTATTCAAAAGCAACGACTGATAGTTTGGTAGTGATCTGCCGATTGGAATACTTGCACTAGTTGACTTAATATCAACAGGATGATATGTACAGGCGACTGTTAATTCAGTAGGACCATATAAATTCCATACAATACAGTGTGATATACCAATGTTTTCGATTAAAGCTCTTAATTTAACAGAAAACGGTTCACCTACAAAAAAATAAGAAAGCTGTAGAACATGTGGAACTTCATCACTTCGTTACATACCGATACTACAAACCGATCGAAGATGTTTAATAGCGTTTGTGTTGCTGCACTGTTCGAGAAAAATAAAAAAGCTCTGAAGTAAACTTGGAACACTGTGCATGTATGTAATTTGTTTAGTGTGTACGATATGAGAGAGATAATCAAAATCAACTGTTCCTTTTGGATGGAGCAGAACAGATGTAGCTCCAATCATCAAACTACCAAGTATTTCTTGAAGATGATTGTCAAATGAGCATCGTGCCATCTGAACAACAGTATCATTTTTATTGAATGTATTGCTACCGACCAAAGAGTTTATACATCCAGCAAAATTTTTGTGTCGGATTTTAACCTAGTTGAATATATAGGGATGAAGTTACGGATAAGAATACAAATGTCAACATACCGCTTTTGGTACTCCAGTTGAACCACTTGTGAAAATGATATAGGCAATATCACTTGATGTGACTGTAATACTTGATAGACGGTCAACGTTAACAGCACTGATTATACCATTATTAATCCATGATGAATGAATGTCAATCGAAACAACTTTATTATGAAATTTGGGTTTTGTCGACCAATGAACAAGAACAACATGACTTTGAGTATGTTGTGTAAGAAAATACAAACGATGTTCTGGGTCTCTAGGTGATAATGGACAATAAACACCACCAGCCATTTCAATCGCCATAATACCAATCACCTAATCAAAAAAACAAACTCGAACTTACATTAATTGTTAGTCATCTTGATTAACTTACCATTGACAAACTTCGCTCAACACATTGGCACACAACCTCACCTGGAAACACATGATATTCATTGAGAAGAGTTAAAGATAAGACTTGAACATAATACAGTAGTTCACAATATGCCAATGTTTGTTCATCTAGTTCAACAGCTACTTTTTGTGGATGTTTCATTACTTGATATACAAACTCATGATGAATACAACTGAGAGGAGATGAAAATGGTATTTGTGTATTCTTCAATGATTGCATTAGATATTGCTCATTTGATAATATTATTGATAGTTCATAGATTGGTTTGTTCATTTGATTGTCAATCATAGATGTAGATAATTGATTCAAGATGAAATAAAATCGTTGTGAAATCTTCTCCACTGTGTCTCTATTTAACAAATTAAGTGATGCATTGATTGTGTATGATAGTTGATTCATGTTCATATTATGATAAATAGAAAGAGAGAAGTCGAATATACTTAATATCTCATCTTCAATAATATTGAATGAGAAAGATCCTGGAACAAGTTGAGAATCACCAATCATAATTGCATTGTTGTCAATGTTAGTCTTGTATGATATGAATTCCAAAGATGTATCCAAGAATGCATGTTTTGAAATATGTGAATGTTGATTGAGAATACGTTGAAGTGGAAAATATGAATATTTCATACTACTTGTCGCTACATCTCGAACATGTTTGAGTAATTGATGAAAACACCAATGAGGATCTAATTGACATCGTAATGGAATGATATTTTCAAATAATCCAATGGTTGATTTGAGTTCATCTCTATATCGATTATTATTGATATTCATACCAACACATAAATCTGTTTGTCCATTAGTTAATTTAAATAGAAAAATAAAATAAATAGCAAATGTGAGATGTTGAAGTGATATGTTATTTGATGATGCATATGTAAGAAAGTCATATGAGAGATCTTGACCAAAATTAAAAGAAATAGTTGTTGTATGACCAGTTCGATGTTCATTTGAGAGACGATATCGATCAAATGGTAATGACAATGATTGATCCAGTTTACAATCATGAAGAGCATCACGCCAAAACATACTTGCACCAGTCATTGACATTTGTTGTTCAATAGCAGCATCTGAATAAAAAGTGAAATATACTAGAAAAAGAAAGGAGAAGAAATAGTGATATATACAATCAAGATAACGTAGAGTAGTATTATCATCATTAGATACTTGACGTGTTGTATATGCTTGATTAAGATCATTAAGAAATATATTAATTGATGGAAAATCGAATATAATATGATGAAAATTAAAAATAACTATATCTTTATCAGAAAGAAGATCATTAGGAGAGATTTCTTTGTAGTAAACAAGATGACATCGAAATACAAGACCTTGCGAAAGATCAAAATGTTGAGTATTTCGTCGTTCATCATACATAATACTGTTGAGTTGTTCATCTGCTTCATAAGTACTTTCAATTAATGTAATAGTCTTTTATTGTTATCATTTAATTCAATGACTCTTTGCATGAGTATATTCGTTTCTGTATCAAAGATTAATGATGTATGAAGTGTTTGATGTTTTGCAAGAACTAATTGAAGAGCATTATAAAGTTGTTGAACTGATAGAGTATGGTTTGGAAAGGAACGGTATATAAATGGCATGTTGTAAACTGCTATTTGTGATTTTTCTGAATCGAAACGAATTCGTTCATCCAACCAAATACGAGCTTGTGCATAGGATGCTGGTGCTGTAACAGTAGAACTTTAGTATTAATCTTTTGGAAACGGAATTACTTTGAGAAAAAAACGAAAATTTACAAAAGCTGAAAAAGAATTTATCTATTACAAAGGAACACAGATTTCGTCGTACTGACTTCCCTCATAGGCTTTTAGCAGCATTAATTATATTTGAACATAGTTTATAGACTCGCACATATAATTAACGTGAACATACAACACTAGTTGAGGTTGAGGAATATGTCTAAACTCAATAAATATCGTTTTGACTAACGTATTTAGTGTACTGAGAAATTCATGTTGCATCCTATTTTACCTATACAATAGTGAAGAAAAGGCCGTGTTATCATTCCACTGGTTGTTGAAATAGACTGAAGACATTAAGTCTCTATTTTCTGCAAGCTTTCAAACAAAATTTACAAAACTTGACTAGTTTTATAAATACTCTTTTCCAGACGTAATTCTCCAATCCGTAATTTTTTGGGTATTCAGTAACTAAATCATTTATATTTTAAAATTTTCAATTTATAGAGATCATATCTAGCTCTTTTTTCATGGTCTCAATCACACCCTCGATGTACTTCATTAACTTTAAGCTACACACTAACTTCGATCTCATAGAACTTAATTGAAAACTTATTGGCAATAAATCTAAAAATATTTTGAATACATGTGTTTTTTTTATTGAAGTAACTGATAGGCATCACTGTTCTGATCTTTTGTTTTTGACAAATTATTCTAATCTATGTATGATTGATATAATTAGTATTCACAAATAGAAGAACATTTAATTTTAGTATTTCAATGTAATTTCTGCAAAAGTTTAAATTTAAATTTAGCTGCTCTTTATTTGAGAATAGAGTATTCTAACTTCTATCATTTATTTTATGAGTTCGATATTCAGCATATGAGTCAATATAGAACTTATTCTATTATTTAACTATTTTTACTGACTTTATTCTTAATATTCAGTTCCTAATGGATTAGATTCTTTGAGATATTATTATTAAAGGTTTTATTAAAAAAGAAATCTCATGTGTTAGCACATCTACTCAAAAAAGATGAAAAAATAGATATGCATACCTTCGTTCATAATAGTCGGTAATCTACAAAAGATTACTCCTTGCATTTCTTCAATTTCTTCTGGTAAAATAAGTGACAATCTGCTAATAGGCATACTATATTGATTATGCATTGGGTCATCAGTCATTGAGGAACTGAAGAGTTGCGTGAGCATATGTAGAAAACGATTTGCAAGTAGATCAACATCAGCTTGATGATGGAATATATCAGCCGAACAATCGAGAAAACACTCCGTGCTTCGTGAGTGGTGATCATGAGCTATTGTGAATGATAAATCAAACAGTGCTGTTCCATTACCATGAGATCGATCTCGATCGAAATAGATGCCAAGAACAGTACCGTCGTTTGTAGTTGCCTCCAATTTATTATTCTGTGTTATAGATGACATTAATGATTCATAATGAAATAATGTTGAAGGTAATACTTCATGCTCTCGTTGATCATATGAATTAATAATATGCTGATAAGGTAAACAACCATGTTCAAGAATATTACTACTGAGCTGTTGTACCTTTCGTAGCAGCTGATCGAATGACTCATTCGGCTCAATTTTTATTCGATACGGTACAAGATTAACGAACATGCCAATCATGTCTTTTGTCTCTTGCACAAATCGATTAGCTATGTTACCTGCTACACACAAATCGTCATCATTCATTAACTTGAATAAGAACGCATAATAACAAGAAAGTGACAGCGTAAACATAGTGATATTATTTGAGGATGCACATAACATCATTGCATCAACAACATGTTGATTGATAGAAAATGCAGTTGAAAAACCACGACCTGAACGTATCTGCTTGATATCTGTTTTGTCAGGTACCAACTGTCGTATTCGACTCCAATCATAACCATCCATAACATTGAACCAAAATTGACGTGCCTTATTCATTTTTGAGTCCATTCTTGTATCGGCTAACATTGTCTGTTCGTATAATGTGAAATCGATATATTGTAGAATAGATGATACTGGTTTTTTATGACGATCAGTCCAACAAGCTTTTTTAAATGCTTCCATAATTGGTTTAAGTGAACTGTTATCGAATGATATGTGATGAAATGTAATAGCAAGAAGATCACCTTCCATCAAGAGATGATCATGTTCATCATTACTTCGTTGGATTATATGGCATCTCACTACTCTTCCTGTTTCAACATCAAAGTGTTTTCCTATAGATTCAATTGTGAGTAGCCGATCGAGTTGTTCTGATGTACTAATACCACGTGAATGTTTAAATGAATAAATATCATCGGTGGCTGCCTGAATGCATTGTTCGATTTGATTACTTTGTGGGTTAAAACGAACAGCAGTACGAAGAACAGTATGTTGTTCAATTAATGTGAGTACAATTGAACGAATACGTTCGATAGATAATGAACCTTGTTTGATTATCAATGGTACCAAAATATTGTAGATAGACAGGTCGGAAGAATGAAAATACAGTCGTTCATGAAGCCAAATTCGTTGTTGAACAAATGAAGCAACGGATTCAGTTCGTCTCGAAACCGTGAGTTGTAGTTCTTTGTATGCATTTGTTCCTGCTATTTTATGCTTGTGTGAAAACATTGTATAATAAAGATATAAATCAATAAATATTGATTAATCAATAGTATGAAATAAAAAACTTAATAGAATCTACAAATTAAAAAGAAGATAAGAAAGACTAAATAGACATTTCAAAATATGAAATAAGAACAATAATCATATCATATGAGGGTAATATTATTATCAAGAGTACAACAAACCAATGTAATCTTCTAATAATACTCCAAAAAAAAACAAGAGAATTGATTGAGTAGCTATGATGTTATATTAGATAATTTAAAAATAAATATTACTTTAATATTGTTAGTGAGTTGACTAACTATTATAGATTTTTACAAAAAATGATTTCCACCCTCAAATAGCCTATCATCATAAGTAAATGTAGAATAATACTGATACTATTTCCTATTAATCGTATTGATGAAGGATATCTTTGACATTACATGTTACTGTAAATTATTGTACATACAGTAGTTATAAAATGCTGACAAAATATGACAATAACATTCTTCTTATCTTATTCTAAGACAAAGACTAATGAATTTTTAACAATTCATATTCTTATAATCTGTAAGTGAATACGAAAACACCTTATCATTTTCAGTTTCTATGCTACTAAAGAGATTTTATCTTTCTCTGACGAAAAAAAAACAGTTTAAAAATTAGTAATTATCATTGTATGTATTTCAATTTCAAAAAGAACATGCGAATTAAGATAGTATTCTTAAAAACGAAATTATATGTTCTGTAGCCGACTCTTTCGACTATAGAATCTCTATCTAAAGTTTTTTCTGAGCATGCCTTCAACTTTTAGAAAAAATTGAGTCTATTTTGTCCTTAACAATGTCCCACAGTACCACTGAACTGTTTTTGATGCTTTCATGTCATTATAGATATTTATTCTATTATACACTAACTTAAGTTTCTTATTCTTCAAAGTATGCTCTTCTATAAATTACCTTAAAAATCTAATTTATGTTTTCGTAGGCTTTATGCAAATCCGATGATCGAGTAGAAGTTTTTCACACAATTTTTCTGTTTTTTAAAAAACAATATTAAAAAAACTTGTGTAAAGAAACGATAACTTCAGTTAAGTAGACTTTTTAATTTTTGTAACTCTAAAAATCAATAATAATCTTTATTTTTTATGAAATCGAAATTTTAAATTGCAATTACTCAAAACTTCTCCTTTAAAGCTTAGATTTTTTCAAAGAAACTATTTTGCGCTGTTTGGGCTAATATTTCTATATACAAATTCATACACATTTCAGCAAAAACAATTCATCATTATTTTAATCAATACACAATCAAAAAAGTTATACACATATTATTTGCATGAATAGAAAATCAATGGATCTTATGAACGTCATATAATAAAATGGACTGATCAATTCAACTACAAAATCAAAAATATACTTTTGTTCACTACAATTCTTGAAGAAAATAATTAATATCACACACTGTCGATTGGCTCATATGAAAGACTGAAAAATCGCTTTATAAACATCATTATTCATATCAATTGCTATAAAATAAGTTTTCATTTTATCTCTCAACACTATCTATCAGTATTTTCGAACAGTTCATACTTAGATTCTACACATTTTACGAAATGATTGTTCATTTTGCTGATTTTCATAGAAAAAAAACATTCTGAAAATCAGTTTGAATTTCTAAAGCTCGCAAAACTAACACTTCTGACTAGATCGTACAAAAAATCATTAATTATCAATATATAAATCAGTCAAAACCTTTCACTACGCTTAAAGTCCACTTCATACAATCTATATTCAATTTTAAACTTTATAGTGTACTCATATTGACTACGGTGCTGATCAAATACAGTAATATTATTATACCTACATGTAAGTTGTTCTCATCACCAGGAATTCATCTAATACATGCATTATACCTTGAAGCAAATTTCTAAATATTAATTTGGCTGCGTGTTCATACTAAATGTGTCTGTTAATGATGACGAAGGTTTCTATCAGATTCATATATATAAATAAATAAAATCAAGATACATTCGTTTCTTTCACTCTTAAAGAAGACCATATTATTGAATTCTGTGGTAAGAACCAAGCTAAATACCTTACCTGTACGTTTGATGAAAATAAAATATATATTGATTAATTTGGTTCACTCTTTATATGAAATATATTTCTTAATGATGTCGAAGGTTTTTATCATATTTATACATATGAATAAACAAAATCAACCCACACTTGCGTCCTTCACTTTTAAAGTACGTGATGTTGTTAAATATTGTGATAACAACCAAGCTAGTTATCTCACCTGTAAATTTGAACAACATAAAATTAATGTTGACTAATTAGCTTCATCCTTCAGATAAAATATATTTCTTAATGATGTCGTAGGTTGTTATCATATTTATACATATGAGTAAACAAAATCAACCCACACTTGCGTCCTCCACTTTTAAAGAAAACGATGTCATTAAATTTTGTGATAACAACCACGTTAATTATCTCACCTGTACATATGATAAAAATAAAATCAATCTATGTTCTTTTGCTTCGCTATTAAAGAAAACGATGTTCTTAAATTTTGTGATAATAATCAAGCTAATGGCCTTACCTGTAGATTTGAACAACATCAAATGCGTGTCCATTAATTCGCTTCACTCTTCATATAAAATATATTCGTTAATATCGTTGAAGGTTTTTATCTCACTTGTCAATATGAATAAAAAAAATTAATTTATATTCTTTCGCTTTATTATTAAAGAAAACGATTCTACTGAATTCAGTAATAACGTTCAACTTGTTTACTCTAACTGTGCATATGAATAACTTCAAATAAATATTATCAATTATTTCTTGCATTATATTCATAAGCAAAACAAATTTCCTATAAAGATGTTCAAATAGCAACACAACAATTTCTTTGATGTGCTTCAAATATTTTAACTGCAAGAAATCTTCTGTAAGAATAAAAATAAATGTATTATATTTGGATTTTATTCGTGTGACAAATTTTTATAATGAATATAATACTGATATTGAATTTGAATGGTGAAATTTACGTAAAACATTTTTTATTGGTTTAGTTTTTACTAAATATATTTATTTGTATAGAGTTATTTGCTGATGGAAATGATTTTTCATGGGAAATAATTGAAAAAGGTCCAAATATTTATTATGAAAAATAATTATAAAATGAAATTCTAATATAAATGAAAAAAATTATATCATTATTAACTTCATCATTAAATATCAAACAAAATATAATAATCAATACATTGAAAATTTTTATGTAATTAGAAATAAAATTAACAAATTATCTTTCGAATAAATTTATTCAAGAAATTGAAAATAGTCAAATTCATTTTTCAGAAAATTCTTATTCAAATCTCAATTCGAGTAAATGTTTTTTTGGTTTTATTAATTAATTTTTTTTTCTTTCTCTTTAGTCTTTAAAGAGCCACTTGCTCTATTTGATAATTAAATATTTTCATCAAATACAAATCCTTCAAGGTTAATATCATTATCAATTATTGATCATAGTCAAAATGAAATTTCTATTGAAATAATTATTTCTCATGATCCAAATTCATTTATTTCACCAATAATTTTACAAAATGCTACATCAATCACTTCAATTTTTTTGGTATTAACATCACAAATTCTCTTCTTATTTTAGTTAATTTTGCAATACATTCTCTGAATAAAAATCTTGCTTGCATGTTTATTTATTTATAAATATGATAAATCAAAGTATTTATATATATTTTATTAATAATTAACAAACATTAGATCATTAACCAGTCATATTTTATTTACGAGAATTAAGTTCAAGAGAAATGATTGATATTTGTTCGAATAAATCAATAAATAGTCCACCAATGATATATGAACGAATTAATATTACATGAAATTATGAATTATGAGTTTTTACATCAGGTTGTTATTATCTTGATAAAAATAAGCAATGGAAATCTGATGGATTACTAGTTGGTCCATTAACAAATCATTATAAAACGCAATATTTTTCAACTCATTAAACAACATTTGCTAGTAGTTTTATTATTTTACCTAAACCACTTGATTGAAATTATATTTTTGCTAATGCTGATTTTATACGAAATAAACAAATTTATTTAACTATTATTTCTATATTTTTACTTTATATTATTTTAATAATTTATGTATGTTATAAAAATAAAAAAAAGATTTTGAAAAATTAAGAGTAACACAATTACCTGATAATCATCAATCAAATAAATATTTCTATAAAATTATTATTTTTACTAGCCAACGAAATAATGCAGAAACGAATTCAAACGTAAGATTTCAGGAAAAAAAAGAAGTATATTCTTAAAATATTTATTATATATGCATATTGACATATCGGGTAATAATGATCAGACATATGTTCGAACATAAACTGATTCTCATCGAAAAAATTTTTGAGAAGGTGAAACTGATGCATTTATCATGGCTGTCTCAAGGTAGATTTTCACGTTGAATTATTTTGAAAAGAAAAAAAGATGGCATTATTATTTCGGTCATTAAGATTTCTCAATTATACTCATATTTGGCATGCTAATATAGATACAGGCTGTTTATCATCATAGTTTTTAAAATATATAATTATTCGAAATTTACAAGTATTGGAAAAAATTTCATTATATTTCTCAATAATGGTTTGATGTTGAAAAATAAAATAAAAAAATTGAAATATTTATTTATTTACTTTTTTTTTTTAATAGATTGAACGTATTTTACCAGTCGCTAATGAAATTAAAAAATATCCTTACAGTTATATCTTTTTCAATGGTCATTTATGATTTTCATTATTTTCTCGTTCGCCATCAGATGAATTACCACGTGTTCATTGATTTATTTATTGTTTTATTTTACTTTTTACATCAATATATTCAAAATATAATGTATTCTGATTGATCAAATTAGGTTAAAATAAATGCTTCATGAAACTAGTTTATCATTTAATTCTTTTTATATACCTTCTCAAGAAGTATAATAAAAATTTTATGTTTATTTCTTTTGTATATATATATACATACATCGCAGCGCTTGTCAAGGCTCTAGCGAAAAATTTATTTAGATAGGACGTCCTCCACAAAAAAAATCAGGACGTTGCAATGCATGTATATATACTATTAGATAATAATTGGTGAAATATTTACATTAATTTCAAGCCTTTTACTTGTTCAATTCTTTCGATATCGTCAATCTTATTAAAATCAAATTTCATCATTACTTTCAAACATTATATAAAATAAAACCCACTTGAAAACTGATTTTCTTCTAATTTTTTTAGTCCGAGACCAAATACTATTAATCAAAAGAAGAATCAAATTAAATAATCATTTATCTTTTCTTGGTGGTGTATATGTATTATTAATGGACTTTGTACAATATTAGTTGGTATTTCAGTATTTTTGATAATTATTCGAGAAATTGAATTTGATAATATACAAACTTAGAAATAGTTAATATCAATTCGAAGTGTATTTTTCTCATCAATACTTTCTCTCACACAACCATTGAAAATAAACTTATTTTACTGTATTTTTTCCTCTTCATACTCGATTTCTATTAAAGATTATATTTTTTACTTGTTTCTGCTGAAATTCAAACGATGACAATTAAATTGATGTAAATAATGATGAAGAATACATTCATTTTAATCAGATAAGTTTATTTCTATAATCCAAGAGGGAGATAACATATAGACTTCATCCATAAAGTCTCACGAAACTTTTATTCATACAAATTGATTAAATGAAATTGAAATATGATCAAGTATTCGCGACGCATTGAGTTATTTATCCAAATCGTCATAGGGATTTTTATCTCCAAGTTCATCATTTAAGAAAATTTATTATAAATTCAAGACAAATTAATTGTGATTATACAAAAGTTCGTGTTTTTCTTTCCATGAAAGATTTTTTTTAATGTTTATTGAAATGAATGTTTAGATTTATGATATAACGTTGAACCACCTCCTAATTCAAGTGATTATATAAATAATAAAACTAATCGGGTAATTGGTTGCTAATAATGAGATAAATACGAATTAAATCGAATTTATGTTCTAATCTATTATAGAATTTTTCATTCATGTCTATATAATTATAGTTTATTAAATGAAGATAAACATTCTTATCAACCTTGATGGAATAGTAAAACAAAAAAAACTTCAGTTCATCAATTTATCAATCATTTAAATATAAAACAAGTACAGAATGATATATATATATATTTCTATTGGTACTCATGAAAGTGGTGGTTATACTCATGTATTTTGTAATTCTTTATCTGATATTCAAAGTAATTCATCTAAACTTCATCAATTAGAATGGATTAATACTCATACATGAACTGTAATAATTCAATTTAATTTATATAACCCAAATGTTCAATTACATTACTTTTAGAAATTTAATGAAAAAAAGCAAATGCATATGTTTATATAAATTTACAATTAGCATTTCATTTTAATGATATATTAATATATTTATTAGGGTTTATTTTCGTACAATTAAATTTATTCAGTTATGTCGTTTTAAAACTAATATTTTTAATTATTATTCAGATATTAATATATCTTATGAAAGAATTAATTTTCTTTCCAATTGTTTTTATTTATTATTTGATTCTGAAATTTGGTTTTGTTCAGGAGGGTTATCACAAACATTTATTATTAATGTAATTAAATAAAACTAGAAATTTTTTAGAACCATTGTTATTTAGTTTATTTATTTTTTTAGTTGTTTTGCTTTTTATGAATATATTTATTTCAATTCTTAATGAAGATTTTCATCATGTTCAAGATCATATTAAAAATAATAATAATCATCAAATATTTTCATTTGTATTAAATAAGTTTCTATGCTGGATTGGAATGTTCGATTAATTGAAGAATTTTCAAAGAAGATTGATCAATTATTGAATGCAATCAATCGATATGTCACAAAGACTTGAAAGAATAAATATAAATGATACTACAACTGAATTGTGTTGTTTCTTTCTTCAACTATTTTTTAATGTTAAAGAAAAACAAAGGAAATAATATTATTTCAATTCGAACTTCTTATCTCATCTTTATTTAATAATACTGTTTGATAAAGTATCATTCATATCAAACGAAGCAATACATTTTTATGATAGATAATAGACAGTGATAATAAACCAGATTGAACTCAAGTTAAAAAATTCAATTATGAATAGTACTATTTGTTAAGAGAAAAGTAACAAAATATGTGACAGTATATTTTTAGGATTGCAAAAATCTGATGTCAATGTAAAACAATTATTTAAAATGAAAGAAAAACCTTAATCAAATCATCTGTAAAATAATAGAAATTGATGATTCATTAGAACAAAATTTATTCAAATACATTAATGAAATGTTGAATTTTTATTTCCGAAAGTCAAAAAAAATAATTATAATGTTTTAATACTTTATTGTGTTTTTCGTATTGCAAGAAGTGCTTCTATAGTTATTGCTTACTTAATGAGTAGACATCAAATGAAGTATGATCAATCGTTTTCTTATGTCAAAACAAAAAGAGCAATCATACGTCCGCATGTAAATTCTATTGAACAATTAAGAAGTACTTTGAAATGTTAATCAGTAGTAAACATCTTTCACTTTCTATTTGTAGCTATAGTTATAAAATGTCTATTTGAAATAGCTTAATCCCCTTTCGTTTCAACTACCAATATAAATCATATGGTGTCGGCTTCTTTTTTTTCGTTTATATGCTTTATTTTCTAAACTAAAACATCACCAAATGGATAGATGCGTAATAAAAATGATTAATAATTTTCTTGACTACATTGCTTCTCATATGACCCCATTGAATTATATTAAACAATGAAAAGAAGATATTTTAACAATAAATAATGAGCTTATGGTTAAACGGAAGTTTGTTTCGTAAAACGAGGATGTCGATAGATTCGTTATCCGCATCCACACCCTCAAGATACATATTTGTTTCTATTATAGATCAAGGATACAAGGATTGGACGAATGGGTGCATGTAGTTGCTCTATAATACTTGATTTGATGAGTAATTGTATCTTGTGTTATAAAACAACAAACTTCAATTGTTATCGGCATTTTAAATAATTGATTCTGTGTGTTGGTTATATAATCTTCCAATTTTTCTGTCATACAGTCATAAGGAAAACGATAGTCAGCAGTGAGAAGTGTTGCATGAAATGGATCTTGATCAAAATCACGTGGATATTTGATGATAACATTACCATTCTGACTAATCGATTGTTCAAGTCCTCTGACAAACGTTTGTAGTGTTAGTTGGGACTGTTCATCTACAAGCAACTCAATATAACCATGTTTTATATCAATAGCACATATAATATTATGATAAAATGTTATATTGAATGATGACCATTCGTATGAGGAAAAACCAATTTCAATTCCAGTTTGTTCCTCAGCAGTATAACATGAAAAATAATCAAGTGAAATATGTAGTTCTGCGATGACATTGACAACGTTTAAAATTATACTAGTTAAAGTTCTCTTATGAAGAACTGTAAAATTAGTAGCTGAAGGTGTAAAGCTGTTATCATAATGTTTCAGAATAAATAGTTCTAACAAAGCAGCTACTTGAATCATTGATGGACTAAGAAACAATGGAATAATTGGATCAATAACACGATTACTTGTACTCGAAAGACAGTCAGCACTTGGATTATAAGCATAGTCGTATGGTACCAGATGACATGTTTCATACAATGGATATAATTGTGCTTCATCTGGAATTTGATTATTGATTGGTGACTGACCAGCCGGTAGCTGATAAGGTACGTTTATTTGATTGTTTGTATTAACACACTTGAAATTCTAATTAGCACTCGTACCAACGACCAACAAACCAACAAAGAAGGATATGTTGATCGTGATGACCAACATTTTGGTTGTATTACTTGTGTGAACTAAACATAATAAAATTTTTCGTTGGTAAAACAAAGAAAATAGATACACTGGATAAAAATAGAGAAAAAAAGTCATTTGTTGCTAAATAAATTCTATGAAATATTTTTTCTTGTCTTTTAAAAGAAATATTTAGTAAAATGCGTTTTGTATATATAAAATATCTTTGTTGTTGTGACTTGTTCACACGCAAATAATTTCTTTATTTAATCGTAAGAGCGAGAAGAAAAAATATTTACAAGCGTACTTTCCACCAGTAGAATAAACTCTACTATTTAAAGATATTATTTATATTCTTTAGACTACAATCGAATAATATAACTTAAGCCAAAAAAGAATGAATACAAATAAACGAATACAACATCAAGAAACACATTATTTTATATCTCCTTTACTGCAGTGATCACTGATGCATCCATCGTCGTTTTATTACCTTAATAAAATAATGGTAATCAATCGGAGAACGAAGCTGTCAAGCCACGCTATTTTTCGATTGCTTGCATCATGAACTGAAAATAACTCATACAGATTACAAAAAAAAATACTGATCAGCGCACGTTTTTATCTTTCCTTTCTTGCAATCATTACTAATGCATACACTCTTCATCTGGACTAACGAACAAGTCAACACGTAGTTAAATAGAAGAAACTTCACGTAAAGCCACTATTGATCGTTTATTCAACGAATATTACTTGTGATAATATATAATACCGAAAGAAGAACAAGAAATTCAGCAGCACAGAGTGTGGGTTTGAAATTTAACTGATAATCATTACTATACCCACTCCACTCCACATTCAACCACACCCACCCTCAAGATTTATTTATGTTAAAAATATAAATGTATTTATGCTCACAGATTATTTTATACAAGTCAATCAAAAACTTGTCAATATCAAAGAAAATCATTATTTTCGTTATTATATTCGTCTCAGTTTATTTCTTTTGTGATGCAAGAAATTTATTTAATGTTGCATTTGCTTCATCCCATGATTTTATTTCTGTTGATAATCGTTTTACCCACGCTTGTACATTTGGATAATCTTCATATGAAGCTCCCGAAATTGGTAACATCACTACTTCACATACTAATGCAATATCAGCAATTGAAAGTTGATTTCCACCAGCAATATAATTATTTTTACTTAAGTTTTCATCCATGAATGTTAAACTTGATTTTAACACATCGTTACCTTCTTTTCTTAATTCTTCGATTTTCTGTTCAGAAAATTGTTTAATAGGACCAAACACATTTGCTCCTATCAATCGAAGAGATCCATGACGAAGATTCGAATGATGCCAATCTAACCAATAATCAACTTTAGCACGTTGTTTAAGATCTTTTGGATAATAATGATCAGGTAGATTTCTACTTTCACATAAATAACGCATTATTGTATGTGATTCACCTAAATGAAAACCATCGTCAACAATTGATGGAACTTTTCCAGATGGATTTATTTGTTTGTAAGCAGCACTTTTAGTTTCTCCTTTCATTATACCGATTTCGTAAACCTGATGTTCAATGTTATTATCCATCAATAACATGGAGACCGCACGACATGGTTGAGATATCCAATCAGTGTATAGATCAAGTACCATTTTAGAAATCTGAAAAGAAAATGTATATTATGATTTTATATTAAAGTGTCGTCGCTCGCTTTCTATCTAATGTTTTTTTTTATTATAAAAGACGGTATTTTTTATTGACTGTTCGACACCGAGTTATTTCGTTCTTATCTATTACCACAGAATAATATTATATAAATTCGTTTCTGTCGTTGTTAACTGATTCTGCTGTGGTTTTATCTTTATCAAGAATCGTAGAATAAATAATAGCAGTATAAAAGATAAGGAATAAGTTGCTCGATACATATCTAAACAACTGAAAATATAGGTCGTTACAAAGGGTAACAACTTCGAAATCTATAAAAAATTGCATGAAGGGCCTAGGTGAAAACAAGTTAAGTAATCGCTAGAATGTACCAAATCTCTGATTACATATTCATGAAATTTAGATAATGACAGCATGTCTTTCATTGATAATTTGTAACTTGACATTTCAGAATTATATTTATATTTTGTTTTATGTAACAGATTTATGTATTAAATAATTTACAAAATTACATATAGTATTTAATAAATTTGGGTGTGGATGTGGATATAATTTTTATCTAGTATCCAAGATTACACCCTTACCCACCTACCCTCTAGTAATTTCTGCAAAAATCGCAAAAAACGAATCTCATCGACATTATAACATAGTGTATGAGATGAAGTCTTTTAAATACAAAACTCATTTCGAATGACAAGTCATTGTAGCTATGGGCGAGTGTGGATGAAGGTGTGGTTTATTCTTTTCATACCCACACTCTCAAGTGATCTACGAAGTTATTTAACAACAGAACATTTAGAACAATTAATGAGAATATCAATGGAAGGACCATCCAATCTAGTTAATGATTTAAAACGTTTTAATTATTGATTGTTAGAAAAGTAAAAAGGTGCAACGAATTTTGGTTTAATTTAGTTTTTCTTTCAATGTTCCTTTTTCATACTATACTGATAACAGAAGAAAAGTCTAATTGAATTATAAAAAAAAATAAATAAAAATTTGTACGGATTTTCAACGTGATAAAAAAAATTTTACCTAACAATCCATCCAAAAAACAAAACCTAGATAAAATACTGCCTGTAACAGAAACGAAAGAAAGAAACAGAAAGAGAAAAGAAATATATTTGTAGAACGAGAAGAGAAAAAATGAATAAAAGGAAGAGAACAGTAGTAGTATCTCGTACACCAACAAAGTATCGTGAGTCATCAAAACAAGGATGGTAATGTCGCAATGAGCGAAAACTTGATGGAAATTTCCAAAGTTAAGTTATAATCACATGTTTTGTCGATATTTAAGCTTTGTAACATTGCATAATTTGCCATTTCATACTTAATATGACACTCTATAATTCAACTTGTTGAGACAATAATCTCAGTGTCTTGTTATCAAACAAGATTTCTTATTTGATTATTTATCAGCTTTATCGAATATAAACAAAACCCAACTTTTACACACCACATTAATCGTTCAAAATGGCGTGGACTTGTAGTGAATGTACTCTTCTAAATTCATCAAACGACTTAATTTGTATTGTATGTGAACAAGGATATCGATTATTTTCTATGGACACAGAAGAGAACGACTCATTTATGGTCAACGATGCGACTCAATCGAACGAAGTTGAATCTCTCCTAACGTTTTCTGATGAAAATCAGTTCAACGAACAAAACAGTCTTTTGACGTGGGTGGATGAAAATTCGTCGAATGTATCAGATAGTTCATCGAGCAGTGAAGATGAATGTGAAGACAGTCATCCTGGTAAGACAAGTGATTCCATCTCTATTTTCATGAAATAAATCATTAAATTCAATTTTATTTTAGAGTCATCTCGGAATCAAAGGGATGTTTATGTTCGACATGATGGTAAACTTCTACATGGACAAGACGCGACTGATGAACGTAAACGATCAATTGCGAAACGAAAAGCATTAGATATACAAAAGTTATTAGAAGCAGAAAGACCGTCTACGTTTTCCATCAACGTTTTGAGAGCTTCTGCGACTCCTGCATCGACACACGCGTTTGGGCTAATATCAAAAGGTCAGTTTAATGCAATGACGGCTTATGCCAAAGGTGTCAATGCAAGCGCTGGTGCAACAGCACAAGTAGCTCCTATTTCAGTAGCAAATGCATATGCTACTGGCGTCAACGCCTCGGCTTCTGCTTCGGCTTCTGCAGTGCGTGTCAACGTATTAAATCAGAATGTAAGCGGTTTGAGTACGTCTGCTAGTGTGAATGCCGATGGAGTAAGTGTTGCAGCTGGAAATGTTAGCATAACTGGAGCAGAAGCTGCAGTATCTGCATCCGCTTCAGCAGCTAGAGTCACTGTTGGTAACGTCGATATAACTGGAGCTAGTGCTGGTGCCAGTGCAAAAGTCAACGGAACTGGTGTTACTGCTTTCAATGCCTGTGTCGGTGGTCCCAGTGCGGCTGCTTCTATTTCTGTCGATGGAAGTTTATCGTTCGGCAATATTAACTTAGGTCTTCGACCATCTTTGGATATTGGTTTTGGATTTAATATCGGAATTCCGTTCTTGAGTGGTTCAAGGCTCGGAGGTGGCGGCGATAACAATAGCAATGGCAACACAAACAACAGTGGTGAAGGTACTAATAACAATAATAACGGAAGTAACGGTGCTAATGCAGGCGGATTAGCAGGTCTTCAACAGCGTTTGTTAGAGAAATATCCGAATCGACGATACTATGCAAACCCTGTTGATTATCCAATTACACGTAATACAAGTGGTGAGCCGATTGACCCCCTTCTACCGGATGACAGTACACCACGAACTGATAGCGACACTCCAAACGTTACCAATGTTGTCAATCGACACAACGAACTCGTTGAAAATGGTAATAAATTTGTCGGATTTAAAGGAACTCCACCAACCAATAATGCGCCATTAGAGTCATTACCAGCGAACAATAATGCCGGTGTTCCAGCACAAGCAGGTCCGGTTGAAGAAAGGATGTGGAGTGGAATGTACACTTCACCATCGCCCGATGTCGCCAAAGGTTACGCTGGTGATGATTATGGCTGCCCAGGTACTATCAGTCGTGTTTATGTACCTAAAGATGCTGCTGAACATTATTCCACAAATATCGGACTGGAGACAGCACATGGAGAAGGAGCATTGAGAGCAGTCAAAGAGCATTCAAAAGGTAAATACATATTCAGTGGTCCTCAAGATTCAAAGAATCCTGATTTATTTGCTCCTGAAACGGTTATTTCACCTACTGTACGAAATGAAACGTTGTCAGCTGGAACCATGAAGTTTGAGCCTTCAGCCCACGAGATTGATCATTCTTCGTATAGATTTAAGAAATATCATACTCAAGAATTGAAATGCTCAAAGATAGTTCCAGATTACATCGTTGGCATTAAAACTGCGGACGATTGTGCAAGAGATGGTGGTCGTGAACGTCTTGCTCACGTTTTTCAAGGTCAACAACCACATATTCCTGATAATGATCCACCAAAAAAGAAAGAATTGAGTGAAGATGATAAATTATTATTGGATGAATGCAAGAAATTAGGAATAGAAATTTCTCCAGATAAGTTAGATAAATTAAAGACGAACATAAGAAGTGATGAAGAATACGAACGTGAAGAAGATGCCCAGAATCGAAATACACAAGGAAATTCCAATATGATCGCTGGTGCAAACACTAGAGAGCGAAAAGAAAGCGAACAGAAACCAGAAGAAACCGAAAACAATCCACCAGAACCATGTAAAAATCATGCAAGTAACGTTCGTTGTATGAAATGTATGGTTGGCTCATCTGGACCGCGCATTCGTAATATTCGTGGTCGTATATTTGGTTTCGATTCCAACAAATAACATTTGATGTCTTTTTCTACTTCTTTTTTCGTGTAATAAATATTTTATTCAAAACGTTAAATGAGACGTTATCAATTTTGATTATTCATTCTCGAATATAAATTAAATAGAAAGAGGTACATGGGTGTTGGTGTGGGTGAGAGTCGATGTAGACGACGGTGTATGTGGTTGGATGTGGGTATGGCTGCAAGTATGACTGTGAATATGGCTGCGGTTGGATGAGGGTGTGGATATCGGTATGGTGTGAGCGTTAGTAACTATGCCACCTAATACCCACACTCCACATCCACATCCAATACTCGCACTCACAACGACACCCATACCGCCACTCACATCAACAGCGACACTCACAGCCACATTCACGCAAGAGATAGAAATTAGTTAAATGAAAACATAGCATAATATGATTCATTTTCAATGATTATCATAAATTAATGAGCGACAGTTCTGATTTAGTCATCTTTCTATTTATTCATGAATTACTAGACTCGTTAAAGATTACTATATAAAGAGTTGCTCACTCCTTGTAAAGACATCCGCAGTCGCTTGTCAAAGAAGCAAACATACTCGGAAGGTCTTGCATCATTTAAATATATTTTTGTGAAATTCATTTAATGCTTCTTTTTTGTCTCTCTCCATACACGTATTTATGATATTTATTTCAATCTTTTTTTCATTAATAAAAATATTTCTTTTTTTTCTTTTCTTAATTTATTTTCAAACATTACTCGTGTTGACTTGATTTATAAAAAGAATACCAGAAGATTATTAGTATTTTTCTTTTTAGTTTTCATCTGACGTCTAATTCAATTTGATGTAAAAAGAAATCTTCTATTATAAAATACAAGTGTATATAGAAAAGATAGTTATATCGACATAATCAAATGATGAATGGTGAAAATGAACATGGATAGAAGTGTGAATGTGGATAGATCTGAGATTTTTCAATTGTTTATTATTCATTCGCGTCTATAGTTACCTTTTTCTCCTTTTTTTTATTGATTTGTTGCAATATTTTAAAAAAAAAGAGAACACTTTGTATTAATTAACACTTCTAAAAAAAACAAAGTCATTCAGTTTCAAGAAAAAACCAAGTGATATTTTTTTTCTATGAGGTAGAAAGGGACAGAGTATGAAGTAAACAGGAGAATTTTATAAAAAGTCTATAAATACAATACATCTTTTATTATTGTTTACTACGAATACACCATTTTTTTCCAACATACTATTCTGCTTTGCTTCGCCTTAAATATTTCGAACACAAGAAGTTTAATAATAATTTATTTTACACGTCTTAGAATTTTTCTGCATAATAGATAAATGCATATATTCTCCTCTCGATTCTAGAGTCATTGTCATATTATTTTTGATTACAAGTGAAATATAGAAGATGTGTAGTATTAAACGTTGTTGTAGAAATTGTTTTCCAAACGGATGCTGTGGATTCTGCAAACCACCTCCTACAATACAAAAACAAATTGATACGGAAATCCATCTAAAGAAAGCTGTCAAAGCAACAGAAATACCTTATGGCTTTATTAAATTTTATCCAGGTAAGAAGAATTTCTTAATTCTTTTGTATGAGCTTATGAAGTTTGATGAAGTTCATACACGGGGTTGGTGTCGGATGACACAAGTATTGACATTCACATGCACATAGACACTTTTACTTTTTGTTCAAACGATAATCTTGATTTTATTTCATTGGCCTTTCTCTAACTAGGCGCTGCCACAGCAAATAACACCTACACTTGTCCAATGCTTGCTGTTCATCTTTATCGTCATAGAGAATTTAACGCTGATATGGCTCAAGATAATCGTACAATTACTTTCGATGGACGTAATTGACAACAAACTCATCAAGGCGAACAAAACTTTAAAAGAGAACAACATGCAAGTGCTGAGGAAGAAGTCATCATGGTTCCGCTAGAAGATGTAATACGAATTCGTTATAAAGCAGAAGTTAAAAAGGCTATGCAAGCTGACATCAAATCATATTTAGTTCCCGTACATGGACCTAGTGACCATCGTTGTGATACTTGTTGTGCTTCAATAATCAATTGTTGTCGTAAAAATCGTGCTTGTTGCTGCTGTCGAGAAAAAATTACAGTTGCTCCTCATGTTGAGAACACAACAATTATCACTGATGCTGATCCAAATCGAGCTACAAACTATGTTGAGGAAGATGTAGCTCCTACGGAAGTTAAAGAAGGTTGTCGTACTAGATGTGGTAATCGTTTTCGCTGTTGGTGTTGTGGAAAGAAGAAATTACTTAAGTTCATTAAAAGAACAAACACCAAGGCTCAACGACAGGCAGAACGTGTAGTAACAATGACAATCGAATACAACAAGTACAGTAATCTTGATTCAGCTACACATACATGTTTACTTAGTGAGCAAGATCGATTCGCCTACTACAAACACAAATTTCAAGCGGATTTAGAATTGACTTTCTATTTAATCAACGACCAAGAATATGAGCAAACAAATTTTGATGCGAAGAAAAACGAAGCTGAAACTCTATGTCGAGCAGTAATGCAGTTAAAGGGCATGAAAAAACAATATCCATCAGAAGATCAATTAGAAAAGATTCTTAATCAAGCTCATCAAAGAACATTCGGTGTGGTATTTCATGAACCTGCCTTGCAACTTGAATCAGCCAGGGATTTACCAAGAATAGGTGGTGGTCGTTTAGATGGACATCTTCCTCCGATATAACCGCCTAGATGACAACCAGCTACAATATCAGAATAATACAATGAACTACAGATTTATATGAAACTGAACATGAGAAAGTCGTTTGATATTCATTTTTATTTAATTTTTTAATAAATGCATCCTTAGTTTGCTTCCTAGTGTGTTCTCCCGAGAAAAGAAATAAAGAATTTTAAAAAAATAAATCAAAGGTTGGATGTAACATTCTTTTTAGGCAAAATGGTTGCAACTAAGAATAGAAGTGTGGGTGGGATTGTGAGAAAAGAAGAGTTCTTTACACCCACACCCTACATATAGATAATAATTTGATTTGAGAGTATTCAAATATCTCTCTCAATAATTGTATAAAATTTGAACGAAAATTAACAAGAATAATATTTAGTTGCCATTTACTCAATATTATATATTATTCATTAATAAATATCATTGGTTTAGTTTAGTTAACGACATCTATAAATTCGTTTCATGTATATGCAAACGATAATTGTATTTCTATAAATAAAATGAGTTTCTTAATATTGATCTATTGATTAAAACAGAAATTCTAACAATATATTGATCAATGTTACCATGACATCCATTGAATTTTAACTAGACGAAAATATTTAGTTACTTGAAAAAAACGAAAAAAAAAATTAAAGGATGACGACCGATGTGATGGGTATTCCAACTGGTACTTCTAATAGTGATGATTTTAGTGATCAACGTCTTGGTGGTGATGTTGAATTACGTGAATTAGTTTATCAATCACTTGAAAATGAAGGTATATTATCACGTTTAAAAGCAGAATTACGTGCTGCTGTTTTTAAAACTATTGAAAAAGCAACAAATCCTACTACGAATAATTCATATCCACCATCATATGATGGAATAAATGGACGTATATGTCGTGCACTTGTACTTGATTGGCTTGAACATTCATCTTTATTATATACAGAAGATGTATTTAAAGTTGAAACAACTGGTCCAAATCATCCACCTCCATTAACACAAACTGAATTACTTGAACATCTTCATATAGATTCAAATCAAAATCGATCACAACCTATCTTACATGCTTTACTTAATCATAGTAAAACTCCAGTAAGAGAACAAATTGAAATGATAATTTTGTCTAAAATAATAAGAAATATTTTTTGTTCTAGACCGTTTCTACGACTATAAATTCTCTTCCTCATCATGTCATACAATCAATTGATAATCAATTTCCAAGTGAAAAAATTAATGATCTAAAACGTTTACGTGAACATTTTTGTTCACTTTTTTCATCAGCATTTGATTCGAATGTATTAGAAGCATTTATTAATAAACATATTCCATCAACATTAACATCTATTCCTAAACGTGACTATGAAGAAATTTGTCTTAAATGGATGCAAGCATGTGCAAATGCACTAGTACCAAAAACAAATCCTATTCAACATGGTTCATCAACGTAAGTTATTTTTATAACCAATAGAATTGCAAATCTACAAATAATAGAATTTTTTGAGCTTCTCTCGTTTCTTTCTATAATGATGTTTATTCTCCGAACGATGACATAAATTGATTCAATCTTACATTCATCGATTGTTTGTATAAGATACTATACAAACGATTGATGTGCGTTAGATCTGTACAATGTAGATAGTAGTTATAATTAAGAATAAATATTATAAATAAATTAATGTCTTTATTATTTCAATTTCTCTAGAGCTCTCACACAATTGAAAACATCACAGAATACAGTTGTTCATAACAATGTGACATCTCATGCTGGTCGGTCGACTTCACCACCAGTCGAATCTACAGCTTCGTCATCACCTTCGTCATCACCTTCGTCATCGCCACCATCAGACAATAAACGTAGAATAGTTTTTGATTGTCCATTACCAACAACAATAAATTCAAATAAAAGTGTTATTAAAAAAGCGACTGATATTATTCCACCACCATTAATTAATTTTAATGATAGTCATAGTAATGACGAAGAAGAAGAAGAGGAAGAAGAAGAAGATGATGATACATCAGCTTCAATATTTTCTGCACGTAATGCAACACCAGCTGCATTAAATCATCTCAAGAATATTAATAGTATTATTCAAGGTACTGAAAGACAACATACACAAACAAATTTACAAAAACAATCAAATACTGGTACTAGAGATATTCCAGTTGAATACGATGATGAAAGTATGAGTCAAAGTGTTAGTCATAGTATTGTTAGTAGTGTCGATGATGTAACAGTTGATAAAACATCAACTGCTTCGGCGAATATTGATTTTTTAGAAGATTTCTAGACAAATCAAAGACATTGATTATTTTGTGATAATTTTCTTTTTCTAGAGGCTATTGACTTTATATAATAGCTATTTTTTTCCTTTGTAGAAAAGTATTATGTTTTTTACGTATACGATGAATTCATTAAGAACTCTCATTTGCCTTTTGTTTTTACTCTGTTGTGAAAAATTTTCTCAGATTTAGTTATAATCTCTCGAATAAAAGGAACTTCTTGTGTTCAAAACATTCATTATTCTACTCATTTTGATTGCATTAGTTTGATTAGAGATCTGATCGAGACTATAATAAAAAAAATCAGTATGTGTATTGATATGGCTTCTGTTGTCTCGATTGATAAAGAAGAAATTTAAGTTTATTATTAAATGAGTTGTCTTCAGCTGTAACTTATTAACATATTGTATAATATATGTTTATTATTGCTTTTCAACTATTTAAAAAATACAATTTGGTTAACACACACGAAAAGTACAAAGAACTTGGAAGTATAAATTATCGAAATTTTATAATATTGAAGGAAGAGATTATGTTTTTTGAATATATTGAAAAGATATTTATCGTCGTTTATTTCCAGCACCAGGTAAACGATCCATCATAGAACATAAATCATCATCATCGTCGTCATCATTATTATTTTTGCCTCGTCGTGTTGAACGTTCATCAAGATCAAAATCTTGTAAAACATGAGATAAACGAGAATTTGGATTACGCTAAATATAAACATATAACGTAATAGTTAAACTCACGAGGAAACTACTTGAGGTATCAAAAAGCTTTTGAGCTAAAATTTTGCCAAGAAGTACGGGATACATAGACAAGAAAAAGCCTAAAAGGATATGTGCCGAAGTTGGTGTTTGCCTAAGATATCAACTGTTTATTTTAATTGTTCTATAGGGTCGTATCTGTGCGATAAAATCAAAGTTTCGAATTTAGGCCTGAAATTCTGTCCATACTAAGGTCTCAATCAGACAAGCTTTCTCATAAAGTTTGTGAAAGACTGTCTCCGAGATACAAGTATGTTAGCATAAAGACGCTTTCTTATAGATATTAGATTTCACATGAATATTTTGACAGATTCATATCTCGGAGATAATCTGTCAAAAATTTTTGAAACTTTGTAAGCAAGCTTGTCTGATTGAGACCTTAGTGTGGGCAAAGTTTGAGGCCTAAATTCGAAACTTTGATTTTATCGTACAGATAGGATCCTATAGAACAATTACAATAAACAGTCGATATATCAAGCAAACACCAACTTGGGCACATATCCTTTTAGACTTTTTCTAGTCTATGCATTCTCTACTTGTGGACAAAATTTCAGCTCAAAAGCTTTTTGACACCTCGGGTGGTTCCCTCGTCAGATAGAGAATATTTCATTGAAGATATATCACTCTAACTTATAAACGTACTTTTGATACATCAATGGTAATATCTTCATTTTTCTGTTGTTGATTATGTGAAGAAGATGCGTTCGAACGTGTTTGAATTCTAATGAAAAACATATATATATATAAACGAATGTTTAAAAATAGAATAACTCACGGTGGTCTCATATCGTCATCATCATCCTCATCATTATCATTAAATAATGATAATTTGATAAGACCAGATTTTGATGAATCTGCTTTCGTATTATTTCCAATAAGATCAGAAAGTAAATTAAGTTGTGCAATCATTTTTGGATCAGGATTAATCATGTCCTATTCATTCAGAAGAAATACGAAATTAAAATTTTTTTTTCTTTCTATATTTATTTACAATATCCGATGCAGCATTAACCATTGGAGTTGGTTGACGAACTTTATTTTCACTTGCTAATACTTCTTTTGCATTTTTATTCTTGGAAAAACTTATAAAATAAAAGATTTCTTTCGTTGCTTTTTAGAGAATAGTATGACTTACACATTTAAACCTAAATGAAAAGCACGTTTATCATCAGTTGGTTCATGTTGTTCACCAGCATCGAATGTATGTGTATTATTCAAACGACCTTTAGTATAAGTACTAAATTGAATTTATATTAATTCTTAAATATTTATGTATTATCTAAATACAAACCGAATTTCACCGGGTGGTTGAAAACCATTGGGTACAACACCATTTGTTTTTATAATAAATTGACCTTGTTGAGTTTGTAAATTTTCTCGAAGAAAAACTGAAACCTTGAAATTAAAAAAAAATCAAAATAATTTATTAATTATATTCGATTTAAAAGAAATTTTCATACTCGTATATGAACATCTTGAAAGAAAAGAAGTACTGTATCTCGTATAAATAACCATTCAGTATCATTCAATCGTTCATAAAACTAGAAAGAAAGAAAAAAATATGATTAATTTCATATATTAAATATTTCTCGTGTAGACTAACTTTATTAAATGCTACAAATGCTTTATCCAAAAGATCAAGTACTGTAAAACTACGAATTAATTTTCGCATTGAATTTACATGATTATAAGTAACTTTCATCATATCAGATGCACATGGACAAAGCATTATTTGATATTTAACAGACATTGTCATTAAATCGTATAACTAAAAATAAAATTATTTCGTTTATGTTGAATATATTTAGAACATAGATTAATGTACGTCATAATATTACATGAGAAATTTCTTTCTATATGTCTACGGTAAGATGTAACATGTTATTGATTTAATCCTATGAGAGCGATATTCCCTTAGGTTAAAGATCAAACAATACTATTTCATTTATTTTGATTATTTTCAAACATGATCAATGATATTTATGTGAAAAGGTAAGTGATATCGAATCCAGCTATTATTTTTGAGTCTTTGCTGTTCTTTCGAGAATCAATATCAAAAGTTGAATAAATAAATATTCTTTTCTTTGACACTCAGTATAAAAGTCAGAGAAATAAATATAAATTAAATTGTAAATAATTTTGTCTTATTTTAATTAAGTTTGATTGTTACAAAATTCCATTTAATACCATTGAGATTTTGACATGTCAAATCAATTGATTCTTTGACAGTTTTATATATTTCTATAATATGAATAGACCTATTCTTACGCTTATCAAAATCAGGCCCTCCGACGTGTCGCGGACTAGCCCTCTCTATATGCGAAACTTGTCGTAGTGCTAAGATTTCTCATAATGCTATCAGAAAGCGCAAAAACGTTTTCTGAAATCACAAATAGAAGCAAATATCCGTTCGCAAATACTAATAAAAACACTATATTTAGCTCCATATAGAAAATTTACTAGCACTCAGTATTCATGAAAACGATCGACAATTCTTATCAAAATATACTGATATAAAAACGTATTATTTGCAATAGAATCCGGAATCAATAATTGCTATACTCCATTTATATAGAATTTGATTAATTTATAGTGCTGGAAATTTATGGCATAGTAAATAATAGAGTAGAAACGGAACTGCTTATGTTAACTCGTTGAGACCCACAATTTAATTTATGGACGAAACCTCTTGAAAACTTGATATTTTGTATGAGCATTGAGTATTATCGACACTTCCATTGATACTTCAAAAAAATATTTTAAGTCATTTTTAACTTTTAGCCGTACTCCCCTACGGGAATGATGAGAAATATTTTAGCCACTTTCTTGGAGGCGTACGAACGGGAGCCTAAAAACTGACTCAGTAGGATTTTTAATCTCGCACAAATATGTCTTAACTACGAACATTTGTTAAATATATTCGAAATTTTTTGAAAACTAGAACTTTTCGCTAGGTGGGAGATATATGTCTCACCGGGACTCAAAGGGTTAAAAAAAGGAAATTATGAATTATCATTGTTTTACTAAACATTATATTTATCATATAAGACTACATACTTTATCCATACTAGCTTCATTTAATCTCATAATGCTTGAATGAGCTAATTTTTCAAAGATATGTTTAACATATTTATTTGGATAAAGTTCTTGTGGTCGAAGAATTTGTTCGAGAAATTTTGTTTCAAACATCGCACTAACAACATCATTAACCACTAAAATATTTTAATTATATTTATTTTCTTTCTAATTTATTACTCTTCTACCTTTAACTGATTTTTGATCAATAATTTCTTGAGCTGATAAACGTTGTTCTAATATATATATCATTTCACCGCCCATATTAAAGAAAATAATTGGAAATGCTTTCAATGACATGTCGAAAACGATTTATAGTTTTTTTTGAAAAAAATATAAGGAATCCTTTTTTTTCTTTTCAACCATTATCGAATTTACCGTTGTGGGATCTCCTCTCGTATTATAGATTGATTTTAATACAAAAGTCTTTATCAAATATTATCTAGTACATATTTCTAAATATACGATCAAATCTCTTCGATAAATAATCAAATCATTATTGAACAATTTCTAAGATGGCGCCTTTTATCATCAAATCTTCATATAAAATATCCTATAATCACTTTAAAACGAAATTTCCTTTTATGGCTACTTGTATATAGATATATATATACATGTACAATTTTTTACTTCTTTTTTTCTCCCTCTATTAAATAATAATCAAATCTTATTGTTTCAACTCCTAGCTTAAAAAGAAATCAGGTATTTTTTCTAACCATATAGAGAACGAAAAAGAGAAGAACAGAACACTTTACTACAGACCCATTTGAAATGGCTCTATGCATCATTAGAGAAAGAAAAAAAAAACGTATGTTTCAAACAGCATTATGAGTAAAAACACGCAGAAAAATAAGTACGAGCTGATAAAGATATGATTTACTACCGTACGTGTATTACAAATGAAATAGATATTTATTTGTAGAAATTTAATAAAATTTGATTTTCTTCTTTTAGATTATTGATTAAATTCGTATTTTGTATCGATATGTGCAATGCGGTTAATTATTCGTTATCTATCTCCATTGTTTCGATCACGACGTCGTTTTTCTTTTTTTGCCTTTATTAGTTTACTTCTTTGTCTAGCATTGATTTTATTTCTTATTGATTATAATCATTCATTATCAATACCAAGAAATAATACCGAAAATAAATTAATTACAAAATCAATATCTACCACTCAAAAGTAAGAGATCATCGTTCTATTGTATATTTACTAATCATTATTGATCATCTAATGAGATATTGACATAGTCTATGTTTTTTTCTATTTCTAGTAAAGGATTATGGCCAATAGATAAAAAAGGTCGTTCATTAAAAACAAAATTTCTTGTACTTGATTTAACAGGTTTTTTTGGATCTGGTGCAAGTGAAGGTGCAGAAGTTCAATGTTCATCATCAAATACAACATTTATTTGGACACGTCGACAAGATCGAATTGAAGAAATTGATTTTATTATATCACATGACGCACGTAATCTTAATGATGCACTACTAAGTAAAATTCAGTTAAATAATGTCAAACAACAATATACAATGGCATATGTTATGGAAAGTGAAGTACATTCATCAACAGGAGATCCTTGGAAAATGTATAATTTTAAAATGACATATAATCTTGATGATAGTTATCCTGAACCAGCTACTTATTTCGATACTAATATACATATAATTGATTTACTTAAACCACCGACAATCTCATTTGAAGATAAAGAACCAGACGCAGATGTTGTTTGGATTATTTCAAATTGTAATGTAAGTGGTCCTTTAGAACAAAGAAAAAAAATTTTTTTGTACAATAAGTTAATTCATAGATTATTCTATAGTAGAGATAAAAGTATTATGAGATATCATGTTTTTCATTTATATTATATAATCGACTCTTCTAGTATTTTTTTTCACCTTTTCTTTATCTTTATTAGTATTAAAGGATTACGATTGAAATTACATTCATCATACATATTGATGAAGAAGATATTTCATAACACCTATGGATAAAATTAGCATTTATTTTTCTGTGCGATGTTATGAAACTTTATCTTAAATTAAAATATAATTGCGATAATAAAACGAGATTAGTTTTTGAATGTTTAACATCTCAAAATAAAAATGAATCTGTTGTTTACTTTATTCTTTTAGGCACATAATGGTCGAGAAGATTTTATTAAAGAATTAATGAAAGAAATCAAAATTGATTCCTATGGTCCATGTTTAAATAATCGTCATGGTTATGAAGCTCGTATGACTGATAATGTTGATGCATATATGAAATATAAATTTGTTATTGCTATTGAAAATTCAAATTGTATTGATTATGTAAGTGAAAAATTAGTTAAAGCTGTCGAATCTGGTTCTATTCCTATTGTTGCTGGTCGAAATAATCGACCAGATTATCGCCGATATATGCCTGAACATTCATATATAAATATATTTGATTATAAATCAGTAAAAGCTCTTGCCGATGATCTTAAACGTATTGCAAATAATCAAACATTATATGAATCTTATTTATGGTATAAAAATCATAAAGTTAACATTGATGAATTACCAGAATATTCCCTAGAAGAAAAATTAAAACATTTAGCTAATGTTATTGGTTCGAATGCAACTATGATCACACAAGGTATTGCAGGAAAAGAAAAAAGTGAAAATAAAGTTTGTAAACTTATACGTTTTGTTCGTCAAACACCATGGCAAACTATTGCTGCGCATCAAGGAACACCAAGAGCTGATGCAAGCACTGCTTGTCTACCAAATGATCATATACTTACTCATTTTAGTGTACCATCTGCGAATATTAGTCAAACAGAACAATCTTAACGTTATCGTTTGATGAGTATTTTTATTTATTTGTTATTACTTTGTTTTTCTTCTCTAATATGGATGAATCTACGAGATTTCTATCATAGTCAACATCATCTAACTAGCCTATTAAAACTGGAAAAAAAATATGTGATAAAAATCTCACGGATTCATTCCTATACTATTTTTGTTTTGAATAAAAATTTCCAAGTTGAATCTCTCACAGTACTGGTTCGTTATTAACTCATAAATTAAAACAGAGATTTTTTTTGCTGGCAAAATACTTCATTTCAAAAATCGAGATAGTTATATATATTTATATTTTATTTTAAATGTATTCTAAAATGATTGAAACTTTTACAAATAAAATTTAAGCATTAGGAAGAACTCTAATAGCATCACCCGAATTACATAAAACTACTAATAATTGCCATGGAAATGGCGTCAGTTTTTGATCAACAGCAAGAGTACATGTTGTTTTCATACGTTCATGAAATAAACGTATTTCCAATTGAGCACAATCGAATGTAAGTGATATCACATCATTAGTTTGTATTTTGTTACTATTGAATTCCGATTTTTTACAGCTACGACTACAAAGTCCTTGTTCATAGACTTGATGTGATCCAAACCATCCTACAGCACTAGATAATCGAAATGCATCTGGTTGTAAAGCTATTTTCGATGACATACAACCAAAGAAAATATAATAAGGTTGTTTGAATTTTTCTAATCGAAATCGTGTTGTATGTGTACCACGTAAATAAAGTAATCGACCACGAATATAAGCATAGTCTGAAGAAGAACTACTTTGTTTAGCAAGATAACCACCATCTTCAAGTCTAACAGGACCTAATGTTTGTAAGAATCGTTCTTGTATAGCTGGATTTGAAGCTGCTTTTGTTGGTGCTGGTGGTTGTTCATGTCTTCCTGACGATTGACTACTACCAGAATCATGAATTTGTACTGCCATTAAATAAATAGGCGAACCTTTATCTAATGTTAATTTAGCCGCTGCTGGTGATGTAATTTCTGCTTCAATATCTTTCAATTGTTTCTTCCAATGATCAAGGTCATATTCCGAAAAATCATCATCTTCACGAGCTGCACGAAGACTATCAGTAATATTACCATAGGCTTTTCTTAATCCTGGTTTTGATTGATCAATAAATTCTAATAAACTTCTTCGTGCACTTTCAGCAGCAATTTGAATCTTTGTAATTGAATCTTTTTCCCATCTATCGATTTTTTGTAATAGAGAATTTCTTCTCATTGATGGTTGTTCTAATTCATGTTGTAATGAATCATGTTCTTCCATTAAACTATCTAATTGATCCGATAAATCTTGTCGATGTTCAATAACATGCTTACCACAAAATGTCTTCTGACATCCATCACAGATTAAAATCCCGCCACTTTTGTTACATACAACACATTGTTTCTTATTATTAGAATTGCTTTGATTCATTATTGCTGTTTGAAATGTTGTAAAAGAATGTACACGTTATGCTAAAAATGACCTTAGTTTGTTTGTTTTTTGTTATCGGTAATGGAGAGAACGAAATAAATATATCGTTTACCGTAACGAACCTTCTTAGTCTACAACGTCGATAGAATAATTTATATAAAAATTGTTTATAGAATGAGAAATTGTTTTTTCCTGAAGGTGAAATAGTGGTTGAGTTGACAGTTGTTATCTCTTATATTTCAAAATATATATATATATATACATAGTATTTTATACAAAAATAAAACATTTCTACATATCAAGTTAAATTTCTCTTAAGTACTTTCGTTAGTTATTTCACGGTTTTATAATATGAAAACTATATATATATATATATATATATACATTTAGTTTTGTCGTACTCTTCTCGTTATCTACGATATTCTCGATAAAGTTTTTGTGAAAAATATAAATATATTGTTATCAATATTTCATCAGATATTCTTCTCTCCTTGATATGTACATATATGAGATGGACTATTTCATTTGATAACAAATAACATTATTAGTTTATTTTTAAATTAAAAAGAATATATTAATAAGCATTTTTATCAAATATACTCCATCAAATGTTATATATAGTACTACAATATCCATATGTATATATTTGATTAGATCCAAATCATACTACATAGCATAATAATTGGAAAACATGTTTCATTGAATGATATACAACTGAATAATATCGTATTGCTGTGAAGACTTTATTCCAATCAGGGGAAAAAATAATGAGAGAGAATATGCACTTGAAAGCAAAAGTAAAACCCTTATATGCTCATATGTATATGACTCAGGAATCTCAATCATGTACACATGAGCCAGTAACTCCTTAACTTATGAGATATCACGGCGAGTATCGTGACAATTGCTACTAAAAATTTATTACTGCTAACAGATCATCAACGAAGACTTTCTATGATTTTATTTTTGAAAAGTTGTTCTTTTGATTGTACAGTAGTTCATATAATTTCTGAGACTAGAGGTTGTTTTTTCATTGCATATAACTTCTTGATATTTATATTGGTACTCATTCGAGTATTTTGAAGAAAAATGTGTGTGGTCTAATGAAATTAAGTTTGAATGTCGTGTTATTTTTATAAATAAATGATAAGAAAATGAGAGATGATATCATTCTGTTTCATATAAAGTTGAGAGAAAAGAAATTTTTTGTAGCATGCATAATTTCTTCTTCTGTCAAGGATAACTACATATAGTTGAAAAAGTTTATTTCATATATCGAGAAAATGAATCATTCATTATCATAGATGTTCGTTTGTCCTATTAAGAATTGAATTTTATCCTGTTTTATTTTTGATTTAAAATTTTCACCGAATCATTTTCATGCGTTAATATAATTAAAAGTTGCCAAGGAAAATGTGCTTTATCAATATTAACTGAAAGTTTATGCGTTTTATTTAATCGTTCATGATATAATCCAATTTGTTTTTTATCACAATCAAATATCATATATAATATATCATTTGTTTGAATTTTATTACTATCATAACCATATATATTTATATTATTATTCCAAATACCATGTTGATATATTTCATTATGACCAAACCATCCAACAACAAATGATGAATCATAATTCATTGTGTTTGAAATTCCTTCGGATGATATACAACCAAAGAAAATTCTATATGGAAGAGCATTTTGTATAATTTGAAATCGAACAATATGACTACCTTGAGAATAATGTTGTTTACCAATAATATATCCATAATCTAAATCAGGTCCCATATGTTTAGCAATTAAACCTCCGCTTGTAATAGAAGCAGGATATGTTGCTTTAAGAAAACGTTCACAAGCAGTAGAATGTGGTACAATATGATTCGTATTCTTATGGATATTAGAAAATTTCTTATTGATAGTTTTAATAAGATAGATCGGAGATTGTTGATCTTCAATTAATTCAAGTGAATATGATGATTGAATTTCTAATCGAAGATCATTTAATTGTTTGATCCATTGTTTTAAATCATTTTCTAAATAATCGTCTGTTTTACATGATGATTTAAGATCAAATGCAATAGCACATGATATTCTTGTTAATCGTATTTTTGTTTTATCAAATATTTGTTTTAATTCAATTCGTACATTTTCTGCAGCTGTTCTTATTTTTCTTATTGATTCTTGTTCCCATTTATCTATTTTTCTTGAATATAAATATTCATTTGATGTTTGTTCAATATCTTGTCGAAGTAAATTATGATCGTGTATAATATTTTCTAATTGATCAGTAAGTTCTTGTCGATGTGTAATAGCATGTCTCTCACAAAATGTTAAATGACATCCATCACAGGTTGATATACTATTACTTTTACTACATTTGACACAATGTCTTGTATTATTAATAGTAGCGTTACGTATGAATTTTATTGTCGACATATTGTTAAAATACAAAAAGAATAAAACATTCGTATGTATTATTATTTTGAAATGAAAGAAAGAAAAAGAATTTGATGAGATTCTTTTTAATTTATACATTTTCTATTCGATTGTTTCTCTTACCCGACATAACTAATTACACTAAAGTTTCAATATAATAGAAAAATATTATTCTGAATAATAATATTAATACTATTGTCATATTAAATTAATTTCATTTCTAATATTATACGTAGAATTGATTTAACTATACCAGAAGAAATCATGCCTAGGATTATTCAACAAAATATGATTGAATAACAAGCCATTTATAAATATTAAAAAAAAGTGATTTATTTTTGAAATAAAATTACTTAGAGATGTAAATAAATCCTAAAATTTTTATAAGTATGATATTTTCTATGATTAATAAAAGAAATATTTTATCACACATAAAATTATAAATCATGTCTTTCGTTCTATCGATGAATCCGTTTGTATTTTGTTCATAGAATGTAATTTAGGTGGTGAAAGAATTCTAACACAATCATCTTTATCAGTTAACATCATTAATAATTGCCAAGGTAATGGTGCTTTATCAGTATTAACAGTAAGTATATGTCTTTTATTTGTATCTTCATGAAATAATTCAATTTGTTTTTTATCACAATCAAATGTCATATATAATACATCATTTGTTGCTATAGTATTACTATTATAACCATGTGAAGTCGGATTACCATTACGAATACCATGTTGATAAGTTTGATTGAAACCAAACCATCCAACTGTAAATTGTGAATTAATAGAAATTCGTTTTTGAATTGCTTCCGATGAAATACAACCAAAAAATATATTATATGGTATACCAGATTGTTCAATTTTCAATAATATTGTATGCCGACCTTCGGAATAATGTTGTTCACCAAGAACATATTCATAATTCCAATCGTTACTTGTATGTTTAGCAAGAAGACCATCATTATCAAGTGTAACACTACCAATTACTTTGGAAAATCGATCCTGTGAAATTGAAACAGGAATATTTTTTTCTGTATCACTATGTTTAATTTTAATTAATTTAATAATAGACCATTCCTCTTCGACTAATGTAACTTGTAATGGTAATGTTACTTCTGATTTAAGTTGTTTTAATTGATTCATCCAACGATTTAATTCATTTTCGGAATAATCATCAGCTTCACGTGATGAACGAAGATTCATCGCAATATCGCGATATGTTTTTGAAATTGGATCTCTGGATTTATCAATCATTTGTTGTAGATCATATCGAGCAGTTTCTGCAGCTATGTGAACTTTTGTAACTGCTTCTCTTTCCCATATATCAATTTTTTTAAATAAATTATGTTCTTTAGATGATCGTTCAAATTCTCGTTGAAGTGAACTATGTTCACGCATAATACTATCTAATTGATTAGCTAATTGATGTCGATGTTCAAGTGAATGTTTACCACAAAATATTTGTTGACATCCATTACATGTCATAACACCAATACTATTATTACATGTAATACATTGTTTCGTATCATTCGTCATACTGTTATTGAAATTTTTGTGATACTATAGTGAAATTTAACAAAAAAAACAAAAAAGTTTTTTAAATCTTACGTACACATGGAGACAGAAGAAAGAAAGAAAGAAAAAATTGTTCACCATTTGTCTTTTATTATTAAACAATGAAAGGAAAGATAGAAAGCCATGTGGATTTATAAATTATGAGATGTGTATATGTTACTTTTATCTTATGTCAATACAGTAATTCGATTATAAAGCTTTGGGATATGTTAAAATATTCGAAAGGCGGATAAACTTCATTTAAATTGACAAACATTGAAAAGATTAATTCAATTCCTTTTATGAGACACGAAGTAAATAGTGTAGAGAAGAAAAAAAAGACATGTATTTTTTTCTCGGTGGACAATAGGAAGCGTTATTTCATGGTGTTAATCAAATATACATCTTAATATTTATATAGAGATATCAATAACATATCACCTTCAAAAAAAAATTCTTCATCTCTCATATTAATACAAGAAGAAAATTTTAGTCAGTCGATGATAATGATTCTGTTCGTGTATCTTTTAAAGCATAATAAATTTCTTGAATAATTCTTCCATTTTTGATTGTAAAACGAGCAAGTATAAGAACGGCGAATACAATATATAGAAGGACTATCAGAAAAATTTTGCAACCATGTGATTCATCTTGTCTTGGTTGAACTAAATTAGAAAAAATAGTCATTAAAAATTTTTGTAGTTTTATTTAGATTAACCTGTTGATGGTATTGATTGATTCTTTTTGTTAGAATTTAATTCGCGTATTTGCTAAACAAGTAAAAAATAAAACTTTGTTTTTTAAATATCTATTTTTACCTGTTCACGTGCGATAGTATCAGAATATCTTAGACACATTTTTGCACAGTGAAAAATATGAATAGAAATCTACAGATATATATATATACTTACTAATAAGTAACATGAGATAACATCTTTTTTTTTCTATTTAAATATGTAGTCTCAAGCATATATTTAAATAGATAATTGAGTCTTCATTCATCACATGTATTGTTTCTTATATGTAGATTAATGTAATATTCTCATTTACTTTCTTCTATTCGTATATTTTTATACAAAAGAAATTTGAAATATCTATTAATTTTTCAGCAATAAAAATTGTTTCTAAAGTAATTCATGATTTTATTAATCGTAGAATATCTACGTATTATCCTAATAAAGTAAACATGAATAATTCTCAAAGCAATTAATCATTAGTGAATATAAGATTTATTTGAAATATACAGTAGTTTGTACAAATATTTTTCCTCATAGAATCCATTCATTTCTAATGTATGATCGGATAACCTATGGAGAATACTATATACTGATATAATTTTCATTGAATTTCAGCAGGAAAACGACAAATATAAGTCCTACAGTCGGAAGTTTCAAAAACAATGATACGATGATATTACCATCATGCAATGAATTTATATTTCCGATTTTCATAATTATAAGGTCGTATCGAATTTCCTGCATGATATTGAAAATGCGAAATTAACCAGGCTTTTAGAATAGAGACGGAAGTAGATAAAAATTATCAGAGAAATATTCGATCCGATAAGAAATTGACTACCTAGTAATTCCATTAAAAAGTGTATTGAGCTGTTTCTGAATAGTTTTGGTCGATGAGAAAGTGAAGAAAATAGAGAATCAGATCCTGAAAAAGGTGTAATTATTTTTGGAGCTTCCAACTGTAATACTTATATTTGTCGTTTTCCTCCTGAAGGTCAAAGAAAATCATATTAAATTGCAGTTTTATTTTAAGATAATCATTCAAGAAGATGTAATATTTATAAAAAAAGAAGAGAACATTAAATGTAAATTCCCCAAAATTATTGCACTAAATATTACAGTTGAAATGGAATTAATCGAGATTTGTTTATTTAACGACGACCATTTAATGGTTGAGTCAACATATGAATAAGATTATCATAAAAAACACGACCATCAGAACCAATATTTAATTCACGTAAAATAAGATCAACTAATCAATATGAAAAATAAATCGTAAACAATAAAAATTTTATCTTATGTTCTTACCATCTTTATCAGTTAATTTTTCTCCTGTATTAGTTAAAATATATCTTAATTGTTTAGCATCAATATAACCATGTCGTTGTGTGTCATACAATTGAAAAGCAGCCATTATTTCATTTGGTGTATTTTCTGTTGATCGATGTTCCAAAACAATTTTAAGAAAATCATCAAATTCAACAACACCAACATCTATATTTCATAAATTTAGTATTGAAATCAATATGAATACACATACCTTTTTTATATTTTGTGAAGTATCGTTTAAGTTCGGCAATTGTTGGCGCCATACTTAACGATCGCATTATAAAACATAATTTATCTGGTGTATCTACAAAACCTTGTGGTGCAAATAATTGAAAACATTGACGAAAATCTAATCATAAAATAGTTTATTTTTTAAAAATTCTATTTATTTTATAAAATCTTACTATCAATTTCTTCTTCACTAAAATTCTTTGACTAAAATACAAAAATATATAATGTTTTATATATTTAATTCTAATTGTTTTCTTACCATAACTATTTATTTAGAACAATTAATAAATAAAAAATGAATCTAGAAGATTTATCGAAAAAAAATTAACATATAATGAAAATATGTTATCTTGTTGTCTGTATAAAACTGTGATTTCAATTTCGAGAAACTGATATGACGATCACGTAAATGTAATGGTTCAATCGATAGACTGACCATTTCTTTTTTGTACCAAATCAAACAAATGAAAAAGTAGGTAGACAAACAATTAATGAACAGTATAGATTAAGGTTAAGGTAATGGCAAAGAGAAGAGAAGAGAAAGCATTCGTTTAGTTTTATTCAATATGTTCACCTATCGATTGAACGAATAGGACAATATAAGAGGGCGCTATTCACCATAGCTATACCATATTAACACTGGAATCTTATCAATTACTTTCAAGCGCAGAAGAATTTGTATATCACAATTTATACATATCGTTTTATTTAAGGAGCATGCTATATGCATCAATTCCTATATGAACATTAACAAGAGTATATTTCATGATACGTAGTGGAGAATAATAGATTCAATTGATAATCATAATTTATTTAAATTAAGAAAATAAAAATATCTCATGAATATACTGAAATATTGATTTTTATCATGATCTTAACACATTCAAATGTGTTGATATTATATACCATTTAAAGCATGTTTACAAAACAAAATCTAAGATTAAATCATGACAAATATCACTAATAATAATAATAATATCTGTTCTAAACATTCATTTGATAGAGTGATGTTATCGTCAAACAATAACAAAGGAGCGAACCTTTACGTCTAGTTTTTAGCTCATATAAGAACGCGAAAAAAATCACGGACGAAAGCATATCATCAATGCAAGGTGCAAACGCGTTGATATGTTTTTATCATTAACACCGAACAATGATACACTTGAATGGCTCACATATACATCTATATAGGTGAATAGGTATATATTTCTATGTAAGAGAAAATTACATCCTTTTTTTTCTTTACATTTATCCAATGTTAGTACGAATTGAACTTTTTTAACAATAATCAATAAACTAGTCAACACGTATTTACAGCTATTTTTTAGATGAAATATATTCTAATTTTATTTTATCTTTTTTATACAATAAATGCTCGAAATACTCGACCACCACGTGTATGTCGAAATTGTACTGGAAGACTTCATACACATGAAGATTTAGAATTAGCTAAACGACCATTGATTATAAATAAAGATCATATATGTTTAAATGAAAAACATGAATTTTTTATTATTATTAAATCAGGTAGTTATCAACGACGAAATTTTACACGTTTAACATGGGCTAAAGAAGTAATGGAACATTTTAATATACCTGTTTTATATGCAATTGGTTATCCAAAAAATTCATCGTTACAAAAACAGATACTTTTAGAAGATGAAATTTTTCATGATTTATTACAATTTGATTTTCAAGAAAGTTATTTTAATTTAACAATAAAAACAACAAGTGTTTTTATTTGGTATGATAAATATTGTTCGAAAAATAGTAAATATCTTTTTTATGTTGATGATGATTTACTTATTCATGTTGATAAATTAATTTTATATATAATGAAAATTAATTTTACGGATACAATTGAAGGATGGTGGGAAAAATCAGGTAAAATTCTACGTACAGGTATTGGTGGTGTAACAAAAGAAGATTTTCCTATTGATATTGTACCAGATTATCTATGGGGCGCTGCTGTTTTATATCCATCGAATGTTATATCGAATATTTTATTAAAATTTATATATAATACAACATTACCAATATTTTTTCGTGATGATGTTTTTATTAATGGATTTATAGCTGATGAAGCTAAAATTAAACGTCAACAAATGAATGGACTTTTATTATATGATCCATATAAAGATCTTTTAAAAGATAATATGATTGTAATTGATTTTAAAACTGAAAAAGATCGTCAACGAGCATGGAATTGTTATAAGCATAATACTCAATGTAATGAAAATTTATTATTATTTTTATTTCAAATAGTACTTGGAATGGGTTTATCTATAACATTGATGAATTATTGTTGTAAATGGTTTAAAACAACGATAGTTTATCAATATTTAAAATATGGATTTGATATGTGGTGTTATGAAGTAAAACCTATTTATAATGAATATGCAAACCTATTATCTATGATAACTCGAAAATATTGTCCGACAGTTAGATATCGAAAAATGAAAATACTTATTTATTGGTTGATATATTCAAGAAGAATGTATGTACGAATAATTTTTATTATTGTTATTATGTTAGTTTTTTATCATTTTATTCTAAATAAATAATTGTTATGTTAAAATTTGAGTTTAGTTAATTTAAATAAAATGTTAATGTTTATTGAAAATGTCGATTTATTATGTTAATGGTTAAATAATAGAATGTTTATCATTTGTCATAAATTACAGTTCCCTAAATTTGTCCCTAGAATATATTATAGCGTTTCACGTATCTACAAATAGGGATTCGATTCAGTGATTGATTTAAGTGAAACTACAATTTGTAGCAAATGATAACTTACCTACCAATTAATTTTATTTATAATGAATTACTAATTCGCAACTAAATGAATCATTTCAAATAGTTATCAAGGAAATAAAAATAGACAATTATTTCCAAATATATTATAATACAAATTTAATATGATTAAAATTTATTTAATTTATCTTGTCTTTTATTATACACATCAGTCATTTTTATTATATCATTTCCAAATTTTTTACAATTAGTAAAAAACAAAAAAAAAGAAGCGCCCATAAAAATCTGATATTTCGATTCATTACATAAATCATTAATTTAACTGGAATAGATATTTTAAAAATCTTACTCTTAAATATAAATAACAAACGATAGATTTATGTCAAGAAAAACAAAAAATAAAAATAAACATTCATTTGCATATTTCGTTTACAAAATAAAATATTAAACAAAAAATAATTCGTTTTTTTTTTATTACTATATTTTTTCTCATTTAATCATCATCATCATCTAATGTTGGTTCAACTGTAAGTGCACTACCATGTCCACTTCGTTCTTTGGTTAATGATGTTCCATATGTCCATTCATCTTTTTCAGGATCATAAATTTCAACAACAGATGAAAAATTTTTACCATCATAACCGCCTAAAGCAAAAAGACGTTTATCAAGTGTAACACAACTAAGTGCTGAACGACGACAATTAAGTGATTGAACATAAGACCATTGTTGTGTAATTGTATCATATCGTTCAACAACATCAAGTTGCATGGGTCCAGTTATACTATCAGATGCATAACCTCCAACAACATATATATATTGTGCAAGTGTAGCAGCAGCAGCACCTGAACGACTACATAAAAGTGGTTGTTCACGTTTCCATATATTCTTATCAGGATCATAAGATTCAACATCAGCTAATCGTCGATGTCCATCAAAACCTCCAATTGCATATAATAATCGAGTATGTGTACAAACAGCTAAACCAATACGTTTTACATGCATAGAAGCAACTTCTTCCCAAACTGCAGAATCTGATGTTGGTGAATATCGTTCAACAGTTGAATATAATTCTTGATAACATGAACCACCCACTGCATACATATAATGATCAATTGTACCAACACCAAGACGATTTCGTGGATAAATCATTGGAGCTACTGTTGTCCATCTGTTAACAAATGGATCATAACATTCAACTTCACGACAATCTCGATTATCATTTCTTAAAAAAGAAATTTTATTTATTAATTTTTAAAAATATTATTCCTATTTACTTTGTATTATGTCTTCCACCAATAACATAAACACGCATATGAATTGAAACAACACCTACTCCACTTCTAGGTATCTGTAAATTTGCACATCGTTTCCATTTTTGTGTTTCTAAAAAATAACATTCCATTGTATTTATTGATTGATTATAATAACCACCAGCACAATCTAAATATACAATATAGATAAATATTCGCGAATTCATTTGAATGCTCACATACATAAAACAAGTGGTTTAATTGGTGCACGATGTGGTGGTAACTGACAATAACGATGTGATGTTAAATTTTCATATACATTTTCAAGATATTCTCGACAACGTTGCATATCAGGCTGTGCAAATTCATCACAATTAATAACATCTTTTAAAAATAATGGATCAAGAAATTGAACACGTATACATGGTAAAATTTCCGAAAGTTCTTTACGTCGATTTAATAGATCATGTCGAATCCATTGCATTGCTGCCTAAAAAACAAATTTATGGTATGGATATTAAGAAAAAAAGGTAAGTTCTGTGTTACAGTATAAATAATTGATTCACATTTAACTTGAACTTGATCAGCTTTAAGTATAAAATATACATCACGAAAATCAAGTGTAAGAAATTCTTCATGTCGTATAATATCTTCAAAATGTTCATAAATATAATGTTGTGCAGCTTCAATTAATGGAAGACACTCAAACTGTTTTCCATAAAGATATAATCCAATACAATTAGATGCATGTAATTGATCACGTAGATATGCAACACATATTTCAATTAAATCATCTATTAATAATAATGATGACGTTGCTAAAACTGAAAGAACCTAGTAAAAGAGAAAAATTTCTATTTAAAATTGAGATTTTATTTAATTTACACATTTATCATTGAGCTGTATTTGTGAAGTATAAAGAAAATCTAGTATAAGACTCATTGCAGTTGAACACCGTACTGTTTGACTTAAATCAATATCTTGTGCTGTATGTGCTTCAATATGACCAGTTTGATTGAACATTGCACAAAAATAAGGACATGCTGCTGCTAATACAATTTTATGTGCTGAAAATCGTTGACCATTTACACATAAATTAACATCACAAAAACGTCCATCTTGTCGATACATTGCCATTGTATTTACAAGATGAGCAGTTCGATCGGATTTTAATTGATAAAAACGATCTGAACCTGATAAAGCTTTCATTGTATATTTTCCCATATCAAATATTTTTAACTCATTCATTGAAAATAAATCATCAAATTCATCGACATCATCTGTATCTATTTGGGAATGTATATTTAGCATGACAGTGCCTTTTCTTTTTTAAAAAACGAATACAGAACAAGAAAAATAATTTTGCATCGTTCATCATGATACTTACAAATTTTTTAGTAACTGTCATTGCCAACTATAGCTTATTGATGATTGTACGAATAAAATCTACTAATCAGATACGTAGATTAAATTGATTTGACTTTATTATATAGTGATTATATAACAAATAGTATGTACACAAACATGACTTTTTTTATAAGAAAAATTATATTTTATACTCATGCCAGATGTCGTACTCATCCAACTTGATCAAGACATTGTGTTGTATGCAATGAGTATGTTGAAAAAGAATTTACATTGAGTAAGTTTATTATTATCAAATTACAAATAAACGAGAAATTCGAACTTTTTGCTAAAATAATATGGCAATCTATTACAATAAGAACTAAAATGTTGTTAACGTGAATATTCAATTATTTCTATATGTTAACTGTAATTAATTGAATTGTATATTCTTTTTAATATTATCATATTAAATTTGTCATCGAGTCATAAATTAAACAGAAGAAAGATAAGAAAATAAATATTTAGATTCTATATGAGTAATAATAAAAGACAAAGAAAAATAAGAACATCAACAGGTATTTAAATGAATCATTCATATTAATTCTTAAATTACATCGATTATTGTGGGTTTTATATTCAATTAAAGTCATTAATATATTTCAAGA